TCCCGGTTTAATCCCTTTTCTCACCGAAAATCCACGGACGAACGCCAAAACCTGCATCCTCTGCCAGTGGCCGGCCGCCATGATGAATGTGCGCAGAGGAGTTGCGCAGTTATTAAATTTTGAATATGGTACTCTCTTATATAAAATGTATATCCATATACAAATGAAACAATTGAATTATTCACCCAGATTCATTGAATAATTGTTGAATACCCATCGACAATTAAATCCAACCCCTCGGTGGATCATTCTCACCATAAGTCCATGACGACAACGAAAAAAGTACTGACACTAACCGAACAGTGGGTGACCGACAAACACCGATTGATCTTTACCTCAGGGAATTTAATATTCTAAATTATCAGATGCTCGTCATTAAGGACGACGACATTGTGAAATTACTGAACAACCGATTATGCTTGAACATTCGGGTAAATTCATAGAACAAAAACTAGTGGCGGCTTCAAGATTTAATTTTGGCCTTAGAATGCGTCCAACCTACCTACTAGTTACCATTACCTCTTGATTTCTCACGTCGACATCAGAGGTATTAGCAGTGAAGTAAATGGCCATGAAGATAGCACATAATTTCATATTCAGTAAAAAAAGAGAAGCTATGGTGGGATACACTCTCCAGTCTATACCGCCATCAATTTATTTGCTTACCTATGAACAGTCTAAAAATAGTTATTGGTTTGCCTCGATTGAGAATACTTTTGGCATTTTATACAGAAAAAAAAAATACATGGCTCAGGCAGTAGTTCTGCTGCAGGCTAATTGGTGAGTATTACTTTGGTCAGCGGTGACGGGAAAGGGAAATGTAAATGCGATGTAGGTAGGTAAGCTCTCCAAGTGGAATAATCGGCAAAGAGCCTCAAATACTTCAGTACATATACCCGTTCCCGAGTATTAACTACTACACTGTACGTGTCATACCAATAATATGATACCGCAATAACATTGCTCAAATTATAATATTATTTGTTATACCGTACAGAATACAGAAGGTGCATAGAGTAATTAATTGCGTATGCTCGTAGCTCTCGAAACATACTGCAATAATCTTGCCAGATCAATAACGTGAGGATGAAAGCTTTGACATAGCATCTCCAATACAATACAAAAATTGCTTCCTGTACATTGCTTCCTGTACATCCAATGAACCATCATAATATAGACAAAAAGCAACCCTACAGAATACACTGAAAAATTGGACTAATCTTTTGGAAGTAATTCAAAAAGAAATTCAAATATTTTATTTACACCATATCTTTAAAAAAAAATACACTTGAATTGTTACTCCCACTATATTTTTAGTTAAATCTATAATGATTTATCACTACGCGTTGAGTATTTTGGGTTAAATTAGTAACTTATAGAATTCCACAACAGCAACTGAAAACAAGAATATTGAAGGTAATTTTTTCTATTATCATTGAATGATACGAAATGTAACCAACAGTAATAGCATTCCCTTTTGGCAGTATCATTCAATCTTATAATTACATTGTATAGTAAAATTCGTGTTGGCAAGGGCTCGAGTAAATTACGTAAGAGTTTGTCCTATGGATAATTGATGATTCTTTCTGCTTTTTCACAGAGCAATTTGTTGGATAACTTCATTACATTGCATTAAAGGATAAGATTAATAATAAAAAAATTCATCAGCATCACTCAATTCATCTACTAGTCGTTTATCGGTCAAAATGGTCCATAAAAAAAATTTCAATACGTTTTTATCATTTCCGAAAAATCTGGTTATAGGTCTGAATTTATTCTAATATTTTCAATACAAAAAGGACATGTTGAAAAGAATATGCAAATGACATTATTTTTTCACTCTTACAATTCGGCAGTGGTTGTATATAACACTATTTAAAGTACCTTTTTCTGACACAAATTGAATGGACATGATTTGTCTCCTTTCCATGTGTATATCTGTGTATTAAATTTTTTTTTTTTTTTCATCTTTTTAAAACAGAGATTTTTGAAGAAAAAAAAACGTAAACATACACAGGTTTCTAGAGACTTTCTTCTCTCAAGAATCAATCGCAAAAATTTTACGTCTTCGATGCGTATGTTTGAAATAAAACACTAATCAATGGTGGTATTTAAAAATGCCATGATGATGAAAATATCACTTCATGAACTTCACCAAAATATCATTATTATTTCCCTAGAAAAACTGTAATATTACATTGAAATAGCAATTATCCTGAGACTTTGGGGATTAGATTCAATCATTTTTTCATTCATTAATAACTATTCAATACTGTTTCTCATTATTTATAAGTACGCTTTGAAACAACTCAATATCCATAGAATAATTTTCAATTAGGATGATGAGTTTCGCTTGTCTCATTGGAGCATTCGGATTTGTCATTGAGAAATTTAAGAATATAATGAATGAATGGAAAAAATGCAGCACACTTGAAAATTTTTAAATCATGCGGCGGAAGTCATTATATATTTATCAATAACATTTTTCTTTTTTTCATCAAATCCATCAACCTTTTTCAACTTCATTAAGGAAGGAATACTTTTGTGTAGCCATCGTGCTCATCATTTCGTTCTCCCGACTTTTGCTCCGTTCTTTTATAATTGATAATGAATGCGCTTTTGAAAATTTCAGTTAGCTGTCAGCCACTTGTTCACCTCTTAATTCTTCATCTCTTACCGACTGATGAGGATCCAACGTTTGATGGGTAACAGATTGAGCCATTTGCAAAGGTGATAAACTACTAACAGAGTTTTGGAAAGAACTGGAACTGGTAATGATTGGTTTCTTTCTTTCCAAGCTATTTGTTGTGACCAGTTGCCTTCTAGAATTGGTATTTCTCTCAAGACTGTTTGTCAGCATTCTATGATTTCTTTCAAGGCTTAAATTGGATGTTGTACCAATGTCAGATGGACTGTAAGGAAGCGTTCTATCTATAGACTGTCCCAGTCTATGAAAAACATCTCCACTCTGGCTCTCATTGAACAGAACATTTGATCTCTCGATTGATTGACTTCTCCTTAATGAATGCTCTCCTCCAGAATGGCTGGAATGTAATTTATTCTCTGGCAGAGATTGACGAGATAATCCACACTCAGTATTGTTAAGATATTTGTCACAAATTTGGCTATCAATGTGGGGATAACGAACTCTTATCGAATCGATAACATCAAGCAAATTCTTCGCATCCATCGCCAGGACATGAGCAGCGGCAAGCATTCCCCGACGGTATTCAGCATCTAGTGTTGTAGAACTATACGTTTGGGCCAATTTCATTGCAGACACTAAATCAGCCATATCTTTGGATAGAACTTTGTGAGCCATCTCAACTTCTCTGTGTGCATTCATTGGCAATATGTTGATCAATACATCAACTGACGATAGCAGAGATCGAAGCTCAATTCCAACTTTTCGAACAAGTTCCAGATATTGCTCGGCTTTGTTCTGTTGCACACCTTGAGATAGAAACATAACTGCTCGTACAACATTTGTTGTGCAATCATAAACCTTGTCGTTAGATCTATCCAAGTCTGCTGTTGGAGTGGGTTCTAGTTTTTTTACTATTATTATTTTATTATCCCCCTTCTCCGAGCCAAGAGAGGATGTATTCGTGCTGTGGGCATCTTGAGTTGGAGATTCCGTAATTGAACGTGGTATTGGAGGGCTAGCGCTCTCATCACCGCTAGTCGCTATGGATAACCGTTTCTAGAAATTGAAGATTCAAAATGCCATATTGTTATACATATAGTTACAATAGTCATGATAAAATTCACTTTGCAAGATTTTTCATGGGGGACTTTTTACTTACTTCTTCCCTAGCAAGCCAACGTCCATCTTCTTCACTTTGTCTGGCTTGTTCAGATAGCCTCTTTTCCAATGACTTTTGTTCCTCAATAATACTAGTAGTATCCGAAATTGGATTCTGGAAAATTGGTGAAAGCGTTTTCCTCGGAAACTTTAACAAAAAACAGAAAAAAAAAAGATTGAAGATTATATCAACAAATTGAACCACTGAACCATTAAACTTCAATACTATGAGAAACAGTCAAATTGCGTGTTAGATGATAAGAAAAAAAAAATCTCAATTGAAAAAAAACAAAATTGTTGAATTAAAGAGATGCATAATGTTGATTTTATGGAGATATTATGGAAAAATCATGCTGTAATTGCTTTGTTAGCCGTTCATGCCAAAGAAAGAGAATACAACGCACAAGAGTATTTTCTACGGAAAATCGTGCTGTAGTATATAAAAATCAGTACTGTGCTATCCAAATAATAATAATAATAATAATAATAATAATAATAATAATAAATAACAACAACCAATTGTTCCATTCATTATTCAAACCTGCGCATGCTGAACCTCTTGATTTGACCCGTAAGAGGACAGTACAGCCTCGCTGACTAATGATGAAACCATAGACCCACCCATATTCCCTTCATGAAACCTGTTCAATTTCTTACAATCATCATCATAATCATCATCACGATCATCATCACTAATTTGCCCCAAAATACCAGTTCTGGCCTGGAACTGGAATTTAACAGATTGATTAGCTGTTATTAATTGTGGCTCAGATTGAACATTGTCAATGCAACCAGTGGTTTGGGTATGATCATCACCATTATCTGTTCTAAACTCTTGATGTAATAATTTTGATGTTGTTTTGACAATTTGAGGAATTGTAAAGGCGGAATAAACGCAAGAAGCTTCGTTGAGACTTAAATCTTTGGATCCACTCAATGTTTCACTACTCATTCGTCTTGAGAGTTGAGAATGACCCACTGGACTATATGATCTAGGTTCGTGAATATATTGAATATTTTGGACATGAGATACAGCTGATTGATTTTGTTTTGGATCAGTTGAACTCTGATTTTTAGCTGTTTGAGCTGTTCGAAACTTCAAAACCGGCCCGTATAAACACTCAGTACCAGTTATAGCTGTACTACTACTCATCATACTTCCAACATCCAATTTTGTTGAACTAGAAACTAATTGATCACCAGCAGGTGAATTCTTGAAGACATTCTGATGATGAGCCAATGATTCTTTAATATACGATGAATTGATCATTTTAGATTCTGGATAATGTGAACTATTGAGTTGATGAGATACATGGCTATGTATTTGAGGTGGTTGATAGTCATTTTGAGAAATTTGACCATCATTCACACAAGTCAATGAAATTGAGCCGGAATTTCCACAAGTATCAGACATACTTCCCACTGAAGTACACATTTGAGAAAATGTACCAATAATAGTAGAACTTTGTGTAAATTTGGCCACTGGAGCGTATATATCAGGCGTTGATGTAGCAACGCCGGAGATTTTTTGTACCGGCAAATATAATAGATCGGATGCTACATTGCTAAATACTTTTGAACTCACTGCATACAAATTTTGGACATTTTGCATCTCTTTAATAGTTTTCGGAGGCTGCGGCTGTGGATATTGATTAGATTGGACTTTCAAGAGATTATGGGGTGTCGCTTCTGTTATACTAAGATTGGAAATCATTGAAGAGATTGTGTCGGTTGAATTTAAAGAGTCAAGGCTGGCTTCTGATTGCATTTCTAGAGATTGAATATCAGCTTGAGGACTCGCAGAGGGGGAATTGAAAAAAGGAAGATCTGAAGCTGGGGCAGTGGTTAAGATTTTTTCTTCCTCTTGGAATTGTACTGCCAAAGTGTTGAAGGCTGAAGCCGGGGTAGTGTAGACTGATGGACATACTCCACGTTCTTGATTCTCCTTCATTAAATGAGCAAGGACTTCTGGACTTTGGGCTACAATGTAAGTTGAAACAGGAACGACTGGTGCCACCGCAGCTGCTACAACTGCTGTTGTTGTTTGTGCTGCTGCTGCTGTTGCTGCTGCTGCTGCTGCTGCTGCTGCTGCTGATGATGATGAGTCAGAGGATTGCAGGTGACGTGAGGGTTTTGGTGGTGCATCATCTGCACCTATAAAGAATAAAAACAATTTATCAAATCATAATGGTGTATAATGACAAGCATGGGAGAATGTAGTAGATTCAATAATTGCTTATGAAATTTACCCCATGACATTGCTTGTACTCTTCGATTTTCTCTTTTCATGGTTTCTTGCTGTTGATGTTTCTCCTCCAATAAAATTTCACTGATGAAAAAGAAAAACATGATGGATCGTTTATATAGAAATAAATTTACAATGAAAAAGATGATAATTAAATACTAATGATAAATGATAATAATCACTGTAAATTTTCCCGAATATCTTTGAACGTCGGCCTCTTGCTGGGCTCGTAACTCCAACACTGAGACATTAATGAGTATAATCGTGGAGGACATCGGTCAGGTAAAGCAAGGCGTTCGCCATTCTCCAATTTACGTATAACTTCATTATTCTTTATTCCTTGAAATGGTTTAACACCAAGCATCAATATTTCCCACATACAAACACCTGAAAAGCAAAAGCATTTTAGAATGAATGAATGAATGAATGAATGAAAAAAATAAAATAAATAAAACAAAAGCAATTTATACGAATATGATTCAAAATATTATAATTTCTTATCTTCACTCACCAAACATCCAAACATCTGAAGAGGTCGTGAACCTCCGGAAATTAATACTTTCGGGTGCCATCCACTTAATAGGTAACTTGCATTTACTAGCAATATAATAACTCTGATCCTCTACCCATCTACTCAATCCAAAATCAGCTAGTTTAACACACGTGTGAGAAGAGACCAATACATTTCTCGCAGCAATATCTCTATGAACAAATTTTTTACACTCCAAGTAGGACAGTGCCGTACTAAGTTGAAAAGTGTAGAGGAGTAATGTTGCAAGGTCAAGCCGATGCTTATTCGATTGCAAATAGGCTCTCATCTCTCCAAGCCTTGCGAGTTCCATCACAAGCCAGATAGGAGCCTCGGAACAAACCCCAATCAGTCGAATGATATACGGATGTTCAAATTGTTGCATTATATAAGCTTCTTCCAAAAATTTTTCAGCAGTTGCCAAATCTGCATCAACTTTGCAAGTTTTTACTGCAACGGCTGTAATTTGTCCATCTCTTGCCTTATAAGAACCTTTGTGGACATTTCCGAATTGACCTTCACCTATGATTTCACCTAGTTCCACTTGATTCCTTACTATTTCATAGTCACGGGCTATAATTGGGGGGACAAAAAAAAACAACAGAAAAATCACTACTGTGAATGAGAAAAATAAAAAAAAGTCATAATTAGTTGCAACGACTATTCATATGCACCTGCAGGAGTAGAGTAATCCCCTTCTTCATCAATTATTTCAGCATAATCTTCAAATACTATTGTTCCTGTTTTACCCGAATTTTTTTCCGGGCTGTCAGTACCATCTTGACGATACTTGGGTGGATGTGCATCTAAAAGAAAATAAAGAGTAAAGTCGGTTAGATGTTTACTAAAAAATCATTTGTTTTACACTTTTGTCCTTCCTTTCGCTACATCTTAAACAGACCTTTGCATGGGCAAGGATAATTTTTCCAGGGAGCAGCTTGAAAATTCACGTAACAAGAGAAAGTGAGAGAGAGAGAGAGAGAGAGAGAGAGAGAGAGAGAGAGAGAGAGAGAGAGAGAGAGAAAAAAAAGGGAGAAAAAGAATAAACAATGAATTAATACAAATGATGATTAACGTCATGAATCCATAAAATAGTACAATTACCTTTTCGATTCCATAAAGATGTATTTGATCCAGTTACTACTCTGCAATATCCATCAATCAAATCTGCAAGGCTCTCAGCCTGGTCTAAACTTGAACAGGTAATACTCAATGGTTCAGCAGCACCAGCGACTCGAAGTTTGATGGAAGCTTTGGCATGTTCTTTGCAATCTGAGATGAGAGTCTGGATCGATTGAATTTGTGAAAATTCAGCTATTCGTGTAGACTATAAAAAATAATCCAAGAATAATAATTATGTGAGTATTAAAGCTGGCAATGCATATCAAGTGTCGTAAATTTTTGAAAATATAATATTACCGTGGTTCCACCACCATGTGCCATACACGATATTCCCAGATCCGGTCCGATAATAAGCTCGACAGGTATTGACCAGCTTGACTGATTAAATCACAATATGTACTTTAATAAACGTTCATCATTAACCAAATTAAAAAACAAAAAAACAAAAAAACAAAAAAAAACTTACCCCAAGTGCGCACACAAATCTTTCTTGATCGAATCCATAGTGTAATCTCAGCAAATCAAAAAATTTGAACATACACTCCAATTCAGTAAGAACCGCAACTTTTTTGAAATGCTGCTGTATAAGCTTACGCAATGTTTTTGGTTTCATACCATTGAGAACAGATCGTGGGAGAAATTTGTGTAATCCAATCTAGTATTAACAAATAATAATACAATATCAACTTTTTCTGTAAAAAATTGTACAAATAGTGAAATTTACCTCTCGTTCAAGGTATTCCAAGTTACTCTTCTTGTCCAAAGCTACTTGCGGCATATCTTTGAAGAAGTAACGAATTTCAAGACAACAGAGCTGTACCGAGGTGTCTTGATCCAAGCTCGAATGATTTGCATTTAAATAATCATTTCTCACCTGCAGATAAATTTTATTTTATTTATTTACTTCACACCTATATTTGAAGTAAATTTGCTTACATGATACTGAAAATCACGTTTCTATTATGAATAATTGTTTTTCATTAAAGGTCAATCAGAGAGACAAGGACAGAGAAATTATATTGCAGTGGCAAAATTGAAGTATGGTCTCCAATTTTTATGGAAGAATTTACCTGATCATAATAGTAGTAGAATGTTACTCTATCTTTTTCATATAAATCACTAAGATTTTGAGGTAAATAGCGAACCCTTAATTCATATCGCCATTCAGAGTGGGGATGTTTTCGTTCATATTTCTCTTGAACCTGAAACAGATGAAGAGAATATTATTATTATTATTATTATTATTATTATTATTATTATTATTATTATTATTATTATTATTATTATTATTTTCACTAATTCAATCAAATTTTTCATCTTTCGTATTTTTTCAATCCACTTTATCAAAATGCAATGATAAAAATAGATTGGAATAGGTTTAATTTGATCTAGCGATGCCGGGTGCGTAGCCCGTCAATACATTATATTTTATATTTGAAAATAATAATAATGAGATGTATTTCATACTTGAAACATTGTTGTGTCTTGATGGAGCCAGTAGCATTCACTAGATGCCAAATGATGTAGCCTCATAGCGTAAAGATTCCTATAATGTCTGGTGCCGACGGCTAATCGACTTGTGACGAGGGAAATGATACCCTTGACATCAATTGCATCCCCAAATTTGACGACATTAAATCCACCTTTGATATACATTGTGATGATGGATAAAATACATAAATACTCTTTTTCTCTCTCTCTCTCTCTCTCTCATAAAAATCCCATAAAAATCCCATTTATATTGTTGAGCACTTACCATTTGGCAAATGAACTTTTAGGGTTGTTTTATCCATGGGGGTGGGTGATCCATGTGGAGATGTATTCTTTCCTCGTGGAATATTCTGATGACTAACACCTCCCCCTCCATCTCCTACAGTTGCACTCATTCCCTCATGGCTGGAAACAAACAACACAACGAATAATGAATAGATTTATATTTGCAAAATTTGTATTTAGAATTCACTGACTCACTCATAAAGTGGAATCTCAGATGATATACTTCCTAAGCATGATTAAATATGCTTCCATTCTTTCACTGAATGATAAAGTGCCAGCAGTGTCGCCTACACTTTTTCTCTCAAGAGATTTATATGCATCTATTTATACAAGTATATATAATATAATTTATTATTATATTTATCGTAGAAATTTGATACTCTACTGCTAAATTATGAATTCCTGTCCTGAATCGAATTATCTTGTTTAATATTCGTTTCGTATTATCCACTGTGTAATTAGTAGAATTTATAGTGCCTTATCGCAATGGCAAGTGTTTACTAATATCCTAGAAACAATTAACGAATTAAAAGCGAATAAAAAATCAGTTTTCAGTTGAGTATTAGATTTCTACCCGCCTATGATTGCGCCTAAAACTTGAATTATCATTATCATTATCATTATTAATTAGATAAATTCCATTGAATTTAATTGTCTGTCGTTGAAATAAATAAAAATGAAATTTCTAAACATTTGGATGATAAGTATTATTTATTGGTTAATTATGAAGCATGTTTATTGTGAAAACACATCACAATCTTCGAATCAATATAATACAGGAATAAGTGATGAAACTATTCAATTTAGTAAACAAATTACTACTGTATTGCCGGCTATTGTGAGCGCTTCAACAACTGGAAAATCATTACCATCACCGTACTGGATGTCAAAAACAGAAAATATCAATAATGATCTGGTTAATATACAGGCAATTGTAGTTAAAGATGAAGATGCTGAAATACCGTGTAATAAAGGAGAAAGAAAATCGTAATCAATTTTTCAATATACCAATCCATAAAATCATAGATTATAGTGTATTATAGTGGGTGTTCGGAATTTTGCCTAAAATATACTCCATTTTATCATAGAAAACGAAGGTACTTGATGTGTGCGGGATCAATTCTAAATGAAAATCGTGTTCTAACATCAGCTTCTTGTCTACACGAAGCTCTTCATATTAGGTAATGTATTAGGTGTGAATTCCTTTCATATATATTATTATTTATCATCATCATTACAGGCACAATATTCGTGGGCCGCTAGCTGTGGCTATTGCTCCATTAAAATCTACCGTTCAAATAATTAGAGTTGCTGAATACAGAATTCATCCAAAACACAATACAAACCCGTATACTCTCGACTACGTAAAGCACAATCTTGCTATTCTAAGTCTTGAATGTAGAATTGATCCAGAAAATTATCATAGCATTGAAGTGCCAAACCGACCAATGATGAATTTTTGTAGAGATGGAAATTGTATTGTTGCAATTTACAGACTAGTTGGATATGTAAGTATGAGTGTAATCCTATTAAATAAATAAATAAATGATAATTTGTCAATTTTACGTCAAGATGTAAAGAACTTTGCTTTATTGAAATTCTCCGATTTCATACATAGACATCCAACGTATTATCACAAAGACTTGCACCGGATGCACAATCCTTGATATCCCGCAAACGTAAAAGTATTAATTATGCATATAGAATAAAACGATTCAGCGATGGATCTCACTTTTGTGCCCAGACAGGAACTGCTGTGATGCTTAATACTACACAGGTATGACATAGATTAACTAATATCTATCGTATTTGTATTTGTCAACCATATCAATATGGTTGAAAAAAAAAAAAAATGCCAATTGATTTAATTATTTTTCCTAATAGGTGGCAATTGTTGCAGTTTCTTGTGATGACCGTAAACCAAACAGTAAATGGCTTTACACAGATCTCTACATCAATCGAGACTGGATTCATAATATCCTTCAAGGCTGGAATAAAACCAACTTTGAATATATCCCTAGAAATTTTACTAATTCAATCACACCCAATTCATCATTTGCATCAGTGTCAAAGAGTTGTGAAAATTGTATTTTCAATTTTTATATTTCAATCGGCTGTAAGGGAAAGGATAATTGTCAGAACAGGAGTTTGAATGGTATAAATAGCCAAATGAAAACTCTACAATGGCAAAAAAATATGACACCAAGAAAGCAAAAAAACAATTCATGTCTCAATAGTTCTCTGGACTGCTCTTCCAATATGATGGAAAATACATTAAAATTTCATAATGCAACCAAGAGTAGCTTCAGAACTATGCAATTGATGAAGAACACGGGAATTTTCGATTCGGAAAACGGAAAAGGGACGAAAATTCATCCAAAACCAATAAATTCAATGAACAAATATGTCAAAAGGAGAATGCGAGATTGGAAGAAGAAAAAAAATGTCAATAATCACATCAATAGACAGGTGAATTCAGTGATTTTTGTTTTTTTTTAATAATCATATAACACACAATGATGGAAAAATTGTGACAACATTGATTGAGAATACAGAGATTTGGAAGGCGTATTAAACGTGGAGCAAACATCGGTTTCATAACGAAAGACTTTGATGATAGTGACGATAACATTATGAAAATGCAGGGTTTAATTGTAAGAGACGAAGATGCATCGCTTTGTTGTACAATTGCTAAACAAGTCAGGTGAAACGTTTGTTATAGACTAATAAAAGTATACGTCAGTTATATTATATATATATATATAAATTTTTTTTTTGTTTTTGCTCAGTGAACACCGATATTTCATGTGCAGCGCATCGATATTGACTTTAAAACATGCAATTACAACCGCCTCGTGCATGCATTTCGCTGATATATATGAGTAAATCAATTCTAATGTCCTTCCCTTTAGATATTTGATTTTACAATTATTATCATATCTGTAGAATTTATTTCAGACATCACATTGATGCTGACCTTGCACTTATGATTGGCGCCACAACTGAAAATCTTTATGTCATCAAAATAAATCGATACGAGATGCATCCAAATTATGTCGTCGATGTTGAGGCAAAAGACCATTCAACTCATAATCTTGCAATGCTATTTCTATCCTGCAGGTATAAATGACATTTATAACAAAAATAATTCGTATAAAACACTTTACACTTTTGATATTTCTAATATATAATCTTATTATTTTATAAAATTTGCTATTCTTCTAGTATTAAATTGGAAGCCGTAATCATTCCAAAATTTCCAAAAGGAATCAACGATGATATTGGTCATATGTGTTGCAGTCAGAATTGCAGTATCGTCACCATCATTCAAAATTACGATGTAATAAAAAATAATTCATCAATTTTTCCTTACAAATAATCGATTATTTATTCATTATTACAGAACTATCAAGTGGCAAAAAAATTAAGAGCTAAAAATATTCCTTCCCCACGACACAATGAGCAGGTGGTAATTGAAAATGTATCACGATCAAGTTTAGCACGAAAAACCATTTTCAAAATACCGAATATTCATCCATCAATGCGTGAGAAAAGGAGTCAAGGAAAATTGGCTGCTGCACCTGTATTATTCCTCAAAGATTCATTCATGTCAATGAATGGTGAAACAACAAAAAATAATACCAAGATTTTTCCAAAAAGCTGGCAAAAAACGAAAACAAATACTCAAATATCCTATTACAATCAATACCAGAATGCAAGTATTATTGCGAAACTATTGGCCGGACGGATTTTCCGAAAAGTGAATGGTAGAAGATCTGTATCAAACATTTCCATGATCGATGAAGCTATTACTTCTGTTGATTGGAACAATGTAGAGGAGGCAATGGAACAAAAAATCTCAACTATAAATAAATCCATCATAAATGAATTCATTGAAAATGTTGTTAAAGAAACAATGAAAAGAATTATAATAGTTTTTGGGGAGAATGGACAATCTACCGGGAATATAAATTCTACCAATGGGAATGCTAGAGATAAAAGTAATTTCTTCACGACGCTTTTGTCCCATTCATCAGGCAATAGAAGTATTGATGATTTTTCCCAGGCTCTGATCAGGATTATTACAAATCTAATGCCACCAAATGATGGAGTGAAATTAGCTGTATCATCTGACGTATCTATAGATGAAAGAGATATAGGAAAACCACCACCTAAATATGTTGAATGCCCACCACTTGGAACCCCAGTAATCATAAATGGAACTTTGGTACAGACTACTTATATTTTTTCAAATAGATGTACTGTCAAGTTTCTTCAAAGCCAGGCTCGAGAAAAACCATGAATTTATCTTGTTTTTCTTGTTGATATATTTTTTCCTTTTTCAAGTGGAAAGAGCAAAAATTATAATGAACCATTACTTTCATCCCCCTAACTTGTATTGCTCATCTTAAAAATAATATGGCCAACTTTCAGATTGGAATGATTGCCTACACATGCGATGACATTCAAAATTGGGTGGAATGGAAATACGTAAGTATTTCCAATAATATAATATGGCTACGAAAACGATTAACCGCCTCCCAACATCAATCTGTGACAATTTGTAACGATAATGCAAGTCACAATCAAGATTCACAGCAGAAAAAATCTGGTGCGAAGCTTGTGTCAATGGATATGAAGCCCCGCAAATATGTGCGTCAAATAGAAAATAATCACAAATTGTTAAATGATCACATGACGAGGAATTAAAACGTTCAGAGTTTTTTTTTTTTTCTTCAAAATTGAAACATTCCATCCTTTTGGAAATTCGATGTAATGATGGAATAATAAATAAAAATAATGGAAAAGGACTTTTTCCGTCTTTTCTAATTCTAATACAAAATTTAATTCATATTATGCATATAATTTAATTTAGTCATTTAATTAAATTAAAATTCCAGATTATTCAATAGCACATTTTATCGTGACTATTTAAAATACTTACTCGCTAGTTTCAAGATACTGCAGCACCCGATATACTGGACGGCGGTACATAAAGACGTGGCTATCAACGCGATCTACCATCCCCCCAACTTGATTTTTTTAATATCTACAACTGCTCAAGTCAAACATACTCGTACATCTTTGCACCACAGTCTCATTTTCATTTTTTTTAAATTTTAATATATTAGTAATTAGTATTCCAACTTTCTTTCACAATTTTCTAATGCATGCCAACCTAAAACTAATACTAAAAATGTGATAAATCAAAATTATACGGAAAACTGTTCCATTCTAATTACAGTACGCAGCCTTCCACGAAATATGTTAAAGAAAAAATTTACTAAAACAATTTATCAATAGCAAAATATACATAAAGTAAGAACACTAAACTAAAATGGTACAGCAAAAAAAAAATGCAATTATACATGAGTTTCCGCTCGGTCACTGCCCTGTAGGATGCGATCTCTAAATTTACATGGAGCAACCCGAATATTTGGATGATAAAAAAACTTGAACAATATCATGTAGTGTATTGTATCCTACTTGTCTGTGAATAATAAAATTCAACAAAATCCAATGAAATAATTGCTGTTGTTTTAATTTTTATGAGAAAAACAACAAAACAAACAAAGAATAAACAGCAGTTGACAGATAACAGAATTGGTAGAAAAAAAAAATCAAATTATCGATAATTTACAACTAAATCACTCGTTTTTTCATTCATATATATCAACCGTGGCGTTGTTAAACTAATCACTACATTTCCCTTCCCTCACTGTTCGTTTAACCAAACACTCGCATTAATTACAAGCCGGCTGGTGGTTAATTGAGTCTTTATAGAAAACATTCAAAATTATGAATGTTATAATAATACATTTATCATCTTCAATCACACCGAAATCCTTAATTCCATAACAATTGAAACTAAAAGTAGCTAATTTTCACAAAAAAGCACTTGGCAACACAACTTTGAAGTGCGTTAGACATATACGTACATACTTCCATTCGAAGGGAGCAGGCGCATCATTGGGTGCGGCAACACTGCGCCTTTGCGACGCAAGTCGTTTTCCAATTCTTCCCCCTCATTATATTATTTAGATTTTCCTCTCGAATATTGACGATAATTTTCTATAAAATGGTTAAATACAAATCTGACGGAACTTATATTTTTCACTATAACTGGATAAGTGATGGCGCGCTTCGGAAAATTGTAGACTGTCGAAAAGCAATTCCTTCCCAATTGAGAGAGCAGAACAAGATGAATAAAAATTACTAACATTAAAAAAAGAAGCATTACAATGAGACATTATTAATTTGATCACATGAAGATTTTTGTTTTCCACCTTTGTGTCTTAGAAACTATTGATGAGAAATAAGATCAGTAATCTTTTACGTTTAATTCTCATCAGAATCTTGTTGTTTCACGATTACAACTGTGTTTGCAAACGTGAGACAACTCACTTGTCATTTTTCTACGGCCATTTAGTTTTTTATAATTATTGTAGCTCCCCTGCTACTGCTATTTTCCTGTTCTCTCACACTACATCTAATCACTACATCCCCATAGTATGTACATTGTCACGTCACGCAGTGGACCACCCTGTCGTTACTCGATGCTTGGACAATGGACTTGGACATACACATGTAACACATTAAGGACTACCTACAAGTATTATTATTTAGAATTATACCACATTACATCCTTAGCCATTTGTGTATTTCCCCCTTCTACTCCCTTCTAATCCCTGCATCATTTTTCACTGAGGGATGTACCGTGTACATTGAAAAATATTATATTCCATGAAAAACGGAGAAACATCAATTTTATAAAAATTATCTTTATTTTCTCTACCCTCACCCGGTAAAATAAAAAAATATATAAACTGACGTGCCAACTACTATGTAAATAATAAAATGTAAATACACGGCAACAAATTTCGTTAAAAATAAAAAAATAGCAATAGAACAGTTGATAAAAAATTTTATCAAGCTGCTTTAATATTATTCTACAGTCTTTTTTAATGATAAAAATATGCCGAAACAAAGTCCCCATTCTTACATCCTTCCAAGAGTTTTTCTATGCGGAGACGTCTTTAATTACCGTGGAAAGCCAGTAGATAGAATCAGTTATACAAATGCATTCACACAAGTACAAGAGGTTAATATCCTTATTTTACTTCCAACGGATATCTAATGTAAAATCAAAATTGGATATCATTTCACCATAGCATCGGAATACATGATATTTATCCATAAATAAAAATCATATACATAATTGTGAAAAATTTGATAAAGTAAATTGTACTTTTCCAAAAGGAGTGAGTTGGCCGATCATCGGATTTTTTTTGAGATGAGCTATTGGAATACAAGGGTAAAACTCAAATTTTTCCAATAGTTTGTCAATTATTAATCACAGCAATCATGAACTATCATGTGTAATAGCCTAGGAAACAAGGTAAGAATACACATGATCGTAATGTATTATATTCAAACCGGAAGTGGATGAGAACCACATTTACTCATATATGAACATGGTGTATATGCTCGGTGTACGTGGGTTCCTGTTATTCGTCTTCTTCGTTCTTTCATAATGAAAAAAATATTTAGAAAGAAAATGATAGATTTGGAAGAAATATGAATCTTCAAGGTCTATTTATATTTCATAGTTTGACTATGTTCTCAAGTTCCGGACTTGAGCATTCAATAAATATAAATATAATAGATATAATTGGGATAATTTTCTGTTCTATAACGTTGCTAACTTGGCTATCAATATATATAATACCTATATATTGTCAATATATCAATAGAAACAGAAAATTTCATCGTTTGGAATTGGATATTCAGACGAATGAAAATTAAACAAGCAAAATGGCTCATTAATGCCTCACAAACATAAACATTCTTTGTTGATAATTAATCGTCGATTAATTGTAATAGGCCATTGATATCCCATAAATTCATAATGAAGGGTCAATAATTGATCAACCCGAGAAATTCATAAACAAAGTCAATGACAAAAGAAAAATTTACTCACAAGTTGAAACTCAATACGGTGTTATATGGAACTTTTTGATGATGAAGAAGAACGTTGCTTACTTGATCCCACTAAATATACTATTATGCTTTAGAATCGATGATTTTCTTCAATTAAAGGAGAGAATTCTAAACACTCAAGTCAATCAACCGTGAACCACAGGGTCATCATTCTTCAAAAGTTTCATTTCAACAATTGATTACAATCATTTTTCCTGCAAATAATGTAATACTGTATTACATTACAGTCCGTATGTAAAAAATTAATAAGACATGAAATTGTCTTCTCAAAACTTGATTCGCTGTGAGTAATAAAAATGCACACGGTTATGATTATCACGAACCTCACGCACAGTTGTCGTAAACAGTAGGCGCCATACTGATTTTTTTTTTCCATATCATCAACGTGCATCAACGGCACAACGGATGGGCGGACATGCGCGCAAAAAACACACCACGCAAAGGGGAGAAGAGAAATTTTTCGGGGCCAGGCATAACACATCTAACATTTGTGTTCACATATAAACATCTAAACACAAATATGCCACTAAATCACAACAATTTAGCATCCGATCTCTGTTAATAAACAGACAATACACCAACTGAGCAGAAAACCAACCGCCTTGTTCTCGATCTTTTGTGAAAATGTGAAAAGAAAAACACCCACACACCCCAATAAATTTTCATTCAATCACTACGCTGTATGTGTGGCGCATTGTTATGATTAAATTTTTTAAAAAACTCCGAATGGCATATATTACTCAGAATGAATGAATGGACATAACCTCGAAACGATTTGCGATCCATATTACCGACAGTGATAATTTCCCTATTATACTTTTTGACTGCATGCGACAGAAGAATAACCAATAATACACGATAATTGACACTTGATGGCTAACACGCAATGTTTTACATAAAAATAAATTCTACAGAAGGTTATTGATTGAATGAATGATTCATTGGCCGTTCGTGTACTTTGTTGGTACAAATCGAATGCTAGATTCATTGGAGTTATCTGCTTATTTCTGTTCAGATGTATTTTGACATCTGGGTCTATCCGAAAATCCAAAATTTCCAACTTCCTCCTCTTCCTCCTATCTTTATATATAATAATAAAAATAATAATTGATACACATATTTTTACCTTAGGGTGCTTGGCGTGCCCTGTGCGCCAGTGTGCGGTGGTACCGTAGTGCCATCTAATATTATAATATGCGTTGAATAAAAAAAATCAAATCACATCAGATTCGTTGATTCGTTGATGCTCGAAAATTGAAAAATCTCTCTCTGACTAACTAATTCTGAGTAACTAATTTCAAATATATCTAATTGATTTAATAATAATGTTTGGCAAGGAAGCATTGAAATTAATAAGTGAATTGGATCTTTCAGAAGAGATAAAACCCTTCAATGTAATTATACGCATCGATTCTTTTTTGTTAACCTCAAAATCGCATATTATCTTTTATTATTTATAATATAATATAATATAATATAGTAGATAGATATGGTAGGTACTTACATAATTGCAGTTCTCTACAATTCCCGATGGAACAATCTCACCAATCGTATTTTACTTTTTACATAAATTTTTCAGCAAATTATCATCTTATGATTTTTCTTTTTTATGGTATTATGTTCAGGAGGCAATATTTCGTCAAGTACTGAATGAAATGCAAACTCTATACGAAGCTAATTGGGAAGATGTGTAATTATCATATAGATTATGTAACAGTATATAATACAGTCAAATATTAAAGTGAATAAAATAAAGTTGATAGTTTGTATTAATTTTCTTTTGCTCCATGAAAGAAATGCAACTCTAGCAGACAGCACGGCAACGTCTCGTTATACATCAGTCCAGCTAAGACATGCAGCATTGAACAGAAATAAGCGGTGTCTCTTGACGTACGTTTATAATCGAATGCAAAGAATAAGGAAAATGAGATGGGAATTTGGCAGTGTTTTACCTCCTGAAATCAACAGTAATCTGATGCCTCTAGAGAATCAGTGGTTTCAGGCTTATAGTAAATCTCTAGCTACTTATATGAAATCCATTGGAGACAATTATGGATTGAATTTAACAATGGATATGATCCCTCCGAAATCTCTCTACATTGAGGTAATTTGTTTTTTTATCAATAATATAACAGTTAATTAATAGCACAACCCACTAAAAACATTGAATTTCACTGCTTTACGATAATTTTTTTAAATTTCTATTCATAGGTAAGGTGTTTGGTGGATTATGGAAAATTAGAATTGGAGGATGGCCAGATCATTAGTTTAACAAAGAATACTCATCACTTACTGCCCAGAGCTCAGTGTGAAGCGCTTGTGAGGCAAGGAATTCTAGAACATATTAGTACTTAGCTTCAAGCTTTTTTATGTCTTCAAAAATATCGAGCTCACAGTATTCAAATTAATTTTCTTACATGTTTTATATATTTTTATATTACCCATTGTAAAAGAGAAGTAAGTGAAAAAAAAATGACAAGGAGAATACAAATTTTTTTATACATAAGCAACATAATTATGTTTTTTAATGTGAAAAGGATGAACAGATGCGTTCATGAATAAAACTAATAAGATCTTTACATTTGTTTTGATAATAAATAATAATGTACCCGATTTGAAGAATGATAAATACAATAAAACAAAATTTAAAAAAAAACGACATTTCTATTATAATCATAGTAAAAATCTATAATTTTTAAGAATGAGATTGAGAAGATGATAATAAAGGATATGAACATACATCACAAAACGAAAAATATCATATCATCATCATCATCATGTTAGAAAAAGCAGAAATATCTGCTTTTGTCTTTCCTCCTTTCTTTAAATCCTTGAAAATGGACAAGATATGTTCAATAATAATAATAATAATAATAATAATAATAAATAAATAAGAAATGAACATTTTTTTTCATTGAGACGATTTGAAAATGCAAAATAATGGCAGAAATTGATGATAACTTATTTCACTTTACTCTTGTCTTTTTCCTCTAACGGCAAGTATTCCATTGGACTTGCATGTCAATATGATAATCAACAATAGATCCGAATGAATTTCACCAGTCTTTTTCCCATTAATTCAATATAAATAATTTTTAGGTTCTTCTGTAGGTTGGCCACAAACTCCATGGTACTGCTTTGTAACACGACTTGTGCTGCGACAGTTTTCAATTTCAAGGAAACATTCATTACTATAAGTCATTCCATCAGTACCACATACAGGATCATAGTAGGGAGGACAAATTTTTTGACACCCTCGAAAGAGAAAACCTTGTACGCATCTTTTCATTGGTACTACGTATACATGTTTCCTAAAATAAAATATATAATCATTAAAATATACAGACTAAAGTATCAAATATTGAATTGGTAGTGTGCAGAAAATTGAAAAAATTGAACTTTTACTTACCCGCAATTATCCCTCTTCATTTCACACTCATTGCGATAAAGCTTATTATCTGAACCGCAAACGAATGCACGTTCGCCACTACATATTTGATTGCATAGTGCTGTTGTTCGACAATGCTGAGCTGGAACAGAAACTACTCTCTGACCACATGTATCTCGGCGTAGATGACATTGCGATCTAATAGAGAGTGAGTGAATGAAAAGAAAAAATATTGATGCAACAAACTTGTTTTTCTAAAAAGCTATCCAAATAATGAAACAATATTCACCGGTAAACATTGCCATCACTACCGCAAACAGGTTCCTCCAAAACATCATTGCAATCGTCAGGGCATTGTTCGATTTCTTTCAAGGTCGTACATTCGCCGACATGAGCCAATTGTATTCCCTTCCTGAAATTCGTAGAAATTATTTCTTTTTTTATTTATATATTTTTCGTGAAAATTAAGTATTGTCGCGTTATAATTATTATTATACTATACATGCAAATAGCGACATTCAGGTGACATTGATTAGGATAAGTAGTAGCGTCACTTCCGCACACTGGATCTACATCATGTCCACATTTTTGTTGTTGTTTAGAACATTTTATTAAACGTGTTCGACATTTGTCAAAATCAACGACTGTTATTTTCCTTCTTGATTGTCTGCAATTGATAATTATTAACCGTTAATAGAATCTATTGATTCTATTGCATATTATATAATGATGCTTATTGAACGTACCCACAATTGAGCATCTGCATTTCACACTCATTCTTATAAATACTTCCATCAGATCCACAAACTTGAACTTGTTTTTCATTGTTACAATCGAGGGGGCAAGCGGTATTAGGAACACTCCCAGATGTTCTTTCTCTGGTGATGCAGAAAGACATAGGTACCTCGAATACATGTTTACTGGAAAATGTTATTATATGACAATTGAATATAACTGTGTATTATTATTTACTTGATGATAATAAATCAACAATATAATGAATAAACATTGTTTATATAATCCATAACTTACCCACAGTTTTTTGCTCGCATTTTACATGTATTAGCGTATAGAATACCATCACTGCCGCATGCTGGCTTGGCACCTCGCCAGCAAGATTCCCGACAGTGTCTTGTTGTCTGACAATGCTTTTTATTTGTTCTTACTACACCTTGTCTATTTAATTAATTAATTAATTAATTAATTAATATTAATATTAATATGATTATTATTTCATATAATATTCACAATTAATTAATGCATTTTTTTTCCTCTTCATTATACCTGCATGTGAGAAGTTTCATTTGACATGTAGACTTGTAAACATTTCCATCACTTCCACAAACCGGCCCATCTAGTGGAGCAAGATCACAGGATACTGGACAATTTTCCCGGTGTGCTGATATATTGTTGCATGGACCAAGATGTGAGAGCTCAATTCCCACCCTGCATATTTCAACCCTGAGCATACATTTATTGAGGTACGTGCGACCATCAGTCCCACATACAGGATCTTGATCGGTTGGGCAACGGTGTTCACATTTACTACCTGATGATCTTAAGCATGCTGTTTTATCAGTTGCCATTGTTACCACTAAATCAAATTCCCAGACAAAATTCAACTTTTTTTTTAATCGACATTTCAAGATGATGATGATAATGATGATGATGATGATGATAATAATAATAATAATAATAATAATAATAATAATAATAATAATAATAATAATAATAATAATAATAATAATAATAATAATAATAATAATAATAATAATAATAATAATAATAATGATCATAATAATAATTGGTGCATGCTCTCACCTTTTCCGCACATTTTCTTCCGCATTTCACACTGTGATGCATATATAATACCATCGCTACCGCATACCGGCTCACCGCCAATTGGACATATCCGTGGACAAGCACCTCCAACTAATTCTGCAAAGAAATTATTTTTTATTTGACCATTTGAATTATTGTGAGAATCCATTTTGCACAAGTGACTTTTTTGTGCAGCTTTTCATCACTACTGAATTATTAGCAGCGATTTATAAAGAATCATTTATTACAATTCCATTTCTAGCTAACGATTATATATTATACTTTATACGCGATTATCGTCGATGGTCTCGCTCCAGTCCTCCATAGGTCAACAGCATTTATGGATTTACCAGCTTGGTTTCTTCTTTATCCCTAATATATGTATACTACCACTCCAGGCAATGGAATATCTCGATTAACAGTTATCATTTGCCTGATAATAAATGAGAAAAAATTTTCAGAGCCAGTTATGATATAGTCCAATAGTGAACATAATCGTTGGGGTGAAACGGAGAAAAATAAAAAAATAATAATAATAAATAAATAATATAATACAAGCATATGGCAGCGCAAACTTTTTTCCAAAAGGTATATTGAGTTGTAGCAGTTTCTAAAACAGCACCTAAAGCAGAAATTGGTAAGAAGAAGTTACAAGTAAATGAAGAGAAAGGATACCACGTGTGTATGGTAATTGTAGTATACACCAAGTATACACAAAGATCGAAAGAGCCTCGACCTTACCTCCATACCTACTTTGATTCCTCCATAGGAAAAAGTGGAATATAATTCGTATATAGGCTATTCTGTACATCCTCATATGGGTTATTAGGTGCACGACACTATTAGTCTTTGGTTTCTCTTCCAAGGCCGCGTTTCAATAAGTCGTACAAGACAAATACAAATTATTGCACTCTCTTTTCATTCATCATCGTAAATGGCAAATGAATATTTTGAAAAATGCTTATTAGCACTTGTCAATATTTTTACATTGTTTTCTTGTCAAATTTTGGTTACTTATAAAAAATATCATTATTCATTATTCATTTATTTTCCACGATAATTGAAAAAGTGAAAAACTTTTTCTCGAATAACTACAGCCAATGAAGAACGTTAATAATGATAAAATGTGAACCAGTTCTATATTGCTTGTAGAGCTGTAGAGTTGTGGAGAGAAGAAAAAATTTCAAAATGGCAACAGAAGAAAATACAATGAATGTAAAAATATGATTGAAACAAGACAGAAGAAATGCTTTCTGGGTCAGCCGTAAACTGAAAGACCATAATTTTATACGGATTTCCAACTCATTAAACTTACGTTCTTATTCTCATAAAGGTCACGATAATGTGTACAAAATATGACAACTAAAGTGAAAAAGAAAGAAAAAAAAAACTCTACATATGCCGCCAATATGGATTTCTCATTCAAACGAGAAACAATCGGATAGACGACCAAGATCGACCTAACCGAAAAAAAACCCTAAATCAGATTTAAATGGAAGATGGCCTCAAGGCAACATTAAGTCCATTAAGAACCGTTTTCTGATATATTATTATATACATATATACATATACACACATACACACACATCTTGCATCTTTCACTTCTCTGGACCGCCGGCGCATCCATGATTATGAATAAAGAACATGTAGGTACGGGCCCATCGAGAAAAGAAGAGGAGGGAAAACAAGAGAAAAAAAAATAACTCAAACGATTGAAATTCATTACACAGTTGACTGGGTCTCCAGGTCACTGAAGTAAGCCAATTGCTCCGATTCTCCGAAGTCTTGGTCTGTTTTTGAACACCCATGATTTTAAACTTCGTGGCTGGAGTAATAAATACCATTTATTTTTAAAAATGCACACCGTGTATAATCGCTCGTGTCTAGTTTGTACATCATATTTCCAATTGCCATGCAATTGATGACAATACAAAAGTGTACACTTATGAGGAGTAGATATTATTAATAATAATTTCATGAATAGCTCTATAAAACCTCATAAGACGTACGGGTATGAGACGCACGTTTCAACGTTTCATATCTCGTAAGATTATAGCCGTACTTCAAAGATGATTCTTTTTTGAATGAATAATCATCCTCTCATTGTTATTTATTCGTTCATTCATTCTGTCTTTCTTTCTTTTTTTCTTTCACTCATTACATTCAATCTGTGATTATTCAGTCAATTTAAAATGCGCACTTGAGTCCAAATCAATTTTATAATAGAATTAAAAATGGTTCATGTTCATGCAAGGGGAAAAATAAAGTGGCTCCATCAAATGCTGTGCATCGCATTATTATTTGCCAAGATTGTCAATAGCAAAAAAAAGGAAATATTTTCACTTCATAAATATAAGCATGATACATAAATTGAAGTCATTTAAAAAGAACAATAATCGAATCTTGTCAACATTCATGCACGCCCTTTTCAAGTGCATATTCAGTGTCTGTGGAAAATGGCAGTCTCGAATTTCAGAACAGTTAGCTCATGGTTACTATATGTTAATTTGTACGTTTCTTCTTGGCTCATCAAACGAAATTGATATTAAAAAAAAAAAATAACAATCTATTCAACATAACAATAAAAAGTTTAAATTACCAATTGAATTTTGGGAGAATGAAAAAAAAATACGAAAAAGTTGGATATATAATAAGTGATTAAAAAATATTACACCAAAGAAAAAAGAAATAACATAAAATAAACGAACCTTGAAGACAGTAGAGCAGGAAAACTGTGGCGACGATGTAGCGACGCATTCTCGTTATCTTCAAAAAAGAATGTTCCGTACTTTTTCCGATAGGCGATTTTTTTGTTATTTATATGGAAACAAAAATTGAATAATGGATTAAATTATATTTAATAAGTATATACGATCCTCAGGATGTCAAGTACGGAGGATAAAATCGTATTCAGAAATGTGAATAAAAATTTCAAATTATTCAGAGACGAAGAAGGTGATGATGAAACTGAATTTGACCCTCTTCAACCTCTTTCGTCCTTGGAAGTTCACGAACGACTGAGGCTGTTAGAGGACCGTCGATTGGAGCTATAGCTCCCCTTCCTACTTTCACGCAGCACCGTGCTCTCATTTCCAAGCACGCTTACACCGGTGTTGACCAGGCCGAGCAAGCTATGGACCATTTTCATTACCATTATTAATAACGACAATTCACTATTAATTTGAATATAGATCATCTCTTCTCTCCTCTCCAACTTTTCCATTGTCATATTGTGGTATATTTCCATTCTTTTCCGTTCATCTTTCTTATTAAAATGGTGATTAATGCTCCTTTCTTTTCACTCTCTTTTTATTTACTCTTTTTTTTGTTTTTTTTTTGTTTTTTTTTTACAATACTCACCTGCCGCCTATACGGGAGGTGTGTTAAAACACCCATAGCTGTGTGTTTCTAGGTCAACTTAGCAATGCCCACCGTATTTCAACTTTCAGCGGACAAAAATTCTCTCAGCCGCAATGGTTTTGCAGTCATTGTTATTTTCATGTATATAATGTAATACATCGTTCTTATAACAAATTCAGGCAAATACAACTATAATTTTATCAGCACTTTAACCCTTGATTTTGAACTCTCATAAAAAAAAAAAACCGGTCGAGGGGGGGACACAACGAACATCAACAAATGAAACTTTATTTCAAAGGAAAATATTTTCCATGTCAAACTTATATTGCACTAGTGGTTATAATTGAAAATATGAACATATGATATTGAGGTCTCCAATTGACACCAAAAACACTTGTGAGATTTCACCCGCTATTTCTATAGAGTGCTACATCCTTGGGACAATTTTCCAATGAATCTGTTTTGCCTTTCACTTATTATTTTTCTACAAATCCATTACTCTGGGGTGCATCTCCACCATTGATTGTAATATATAAAAAAATGGCAGTGATATATAAACAAATCCCAACACGTAAACGAGAGCACTGTAGGTTTTCCGTTTCTCCACTCGCATGTGACAGAAACACACGAGACGAGAATGACATAATTGGTGCTAGTTTGATTTACAGGCGTTTTAAAGGGAAAGTACGTAATACACATACCGACACGTAATATCATGGATTTATTCTCATGAATTACAATGTTCTTCTGAATAACCGCGTTGAATAGTAGACGGAAAAAATAATAATATCATTAACAAACCATGTAATGCAGATAAATCTTATTATTATAATACTTTTTTTGACGTTACTATTTCTCTCTATTACTCTTTATGATGAACATCAATTAACATTCCTATATAAAACTACTTAACATTAAGCATTAATGAATGAAATCATTTTCTAAAGTATATCCAAAAATTTAATGAATTTACAATAGAGAATAAGAGTTATTTCATAGAATCCTTTGCTTTTATATAATGTTAAACTTATAAAATTGCTTTACTGCTCATATTTATTATATATTCCTTATAAAGAGTTTACAATCTATCCCATGTTGTACATTATTCTTATTAGTTTCATCATCAACACATTAATTATTTTATAAGGAAATTTTGAAATTCATATTAGCCGCTGATATGGGTCACACAATCACAATAATAAAAATAATATTCTCTCCACACACCACTAAGAGCGTCCATCGGTAAAACAGTGAAACAAGCGGATTGAACAACGGCACGTACAAAAACCATTCTCGCATTCTCTCATTCTCTGGCCTCTCGTCCTCTCAAGTAAAAGGCGTAAAAGCCCAACAAGCACCAACAAGTAGTAAGTCATCATCATCACTATTTCATTAACAATTGCAATAATTCTTATTTCTTCATCTATTCGCTAAATGTGTGTTTTTTATTTGCGTCGTATTTTAGGATAATAAACCATCAACAATTGTGTGGTCACGTTAAATTAATACAATATATATTATTACTTGTTACTTATTACTTATTACTTATTATTCAACACCAAATGACATCTGCTTGGGCGAAAATTCAACCAATCACAAAAACAATTAGTTTTGATGAAATAACTGCTGAAGAAATGGCTAAAAGCATACAAAAAAAGTAAGGAGAGTTGTCTGTTATCATTAATGACATCAGTAAGTTATATTTTCATATGTGATTATTCTCGTGATGATAGGGAATTTGAAGAGCATGGAAAAACCATTGACAATTTGGATACACTCGATCAGTGCATATGTTATGAATTGGACGCTACTGACAGTGATGCTGTCATAGCCCAATTACTTCAAAATCAGTACAACAGCGAGTACGATTTGATGTTGAAAAAAACGGAGGAAAAATTCAATGGCCACTCTAAAGGTATGTGTTTTTATTATTTTTCCTCGCAAAAGTCAACTTTTCTTCTTAAATGTATTTTTTTTTCTTTATTTATTTGTAAATCAGTGGGTATATCATATGCTAATTATCGCATATCCTCTACTAACGATCCTGATGAGAGAAAAGTAGCCATTGACGATGAAAATCGCGATTTGGACAGATTTGTGGTATGGAGCAGAAAATTCAAATTCAAATATATAAATGATAAAGTTTTAATGCTTATCGAGGTGTACATTTCTATTATTCTTCCAGAATGTGGAAAAAGAATATGCATCTATACCAAAATGTGGTTACAAAAAAAATTCAGAAGGCTCAGAAATTGTCACAAAACATGATATGCTCATGTCTTCAAGAATGAATGCTTGTCGAGTATTGGAATTTCCCCCGGGGATATCAACTGGCGATACTGGTGGATTTGATGTCAAATTGAATAATAGAGTATTTAATTCGTTGCGAGCTCACAGTTATGCCTATTGTTCCCGAAAAAAATCAAAACCAAAAGCACATAATAAATAATTTTACTGGGCGATACCATTGAAAACCATCTCCGAAAAATTACCTGGGCTCTTTGGAGAATGTAAATTCTCTATATATTTTCAATGTATTCGAAATAATAATAAATGACAGAATTATGTATTAAAAATGCTTGCAATATTTTCAAATATTTATTACAATACCTCTATGTTACATAACACCTAGAATCATATTATATACAAAAAATTGTTTTTAAATCTATGTAAGTTTCTAAATTCAATCAACTACGAGAATTTATCCATTTTCTTTTGTTTTCGTTTTTTTTTTCTTCAATTCATTGGAAATTTGGATTGAAAAAAAAAACAGGTCAAGTACGAAACACGTCTATCTTAATTCAATAGTAGGGGCCCTTATTGCTATTTCACCCAAGGTAAATGTTCCGGCAAGGAATATTCTCCTATCATTATCAGAGAGATTTTCTTCTGTACTGTAAATACCCTCATCAATGATCTCATCACGTGTAGTTCCAGAAAATGGTGATTGTGCGAAAGATTCACTAGATAATTGGGATTTTGTAATGAAGGGGTTGTGGACTGTGGCTGCTGTTGGAATTGAAATGAATGGATTACTGGTCCTATTGCCAAATTTTTCAGGAGGTTCAATGGTGTTTGCAAAACCTACTGAGATACTAGCTTTAGAAGATCCAGACTGAGAGTTTGCCAGAGAGTTAGCTGTCAACAACTGGGCGGAATCTCCAGACGCGCTAATTTCCAATTTTCCCAATGAACTATTGTCACCCAAATTTGATGAATTATTATTATTACTTCCAAATGGAATAGTATTGTTAGTATTTGTGAAAGGAGTGTGATTTGACGTTGTCAAGGTGGCAAAGCTATTGGTTGTTCTAGGTGACGTGCCAAACGGAGAACTCGTGGTTGTTTGCTGTATCAATTTAACAAATAATTTCATCATAATAGGTACATTATAATATAAATAAAACCATTAAATTTAAACGGCAAATCATCATACTTACGCCGAAGACACTGCCGGAACTAGTAAACATTCCCTGACCACCAAATACCGCTCCAGTATTTGCTGTTCCAAATCCACTGCCATTAGCACCGAATATTGTAGCACTACTACCAAATGCTACACTATTTTTCGCCTGGCCGAAAATGGTGCTCGAAGAATTTCCAAAAATCGGTGCCCCCGTTTGCTGAATAACGTTTGTCGTATCCCCTCCAAATACACTTCCTCCACCAAAAGCTGAACTCGATTGACTCGTCGGAAAAATACTCTTTTGTTGTTGATTTGTACTGAATAAAGTTTGATTATTTGGTTGAGATATTGCTACTGGTGTCGAGGTAGCCGATGAAGTTGAACCAAATGCTGCCATCGATTGGGAGTTACCAAAAATTGATGTTGTTTTTGTAGAACCCCCAAAAATGGAATTTGATACTTGAGGTGCGGCAAAAGCTACAATCACAAATTCTTTCAATTTATTTTCCATTTTTATTAATATCTTTCTACTTTTTTTTTGCTCATTGAAACGAGCCGAATAAAAAATTAACTCTAATCGTTATTATAAAAAAAACTATTGTACATAAAAATATTTACCGCCAAATGTAGGAGCTGTTCCAAAAAATGAAGTATTGTTGTTATTATTATTATTATTATTTGGATGAGTGAAAATCAATGTTTGAGTAACTGGAGGGGAATTGACGCTTTCACCGAAAGATGCGGATGAAGGACTACCAAATGATTTAGAGGCAAAACCACCAGTTCCAGATAGGGATCCACCACCCAATTGTGGAGTGGAAAGTACAAAATTAGATGTTGTTGAGAAACTTGAATCTCGCTGCAACTTTTGTAATTTTTCCAACATATCAGCTGTCTCGTGAGTTGGATTCTTTAATGCTTCTCGCTTGGTTGTCATTGCTTGACAAAGTTGTTGAAATTCAAGTTTTGTCTGATCAACAGTGCCATTTTTTTGAGCCTGATACATTTCCCATCGAACCTCTTCTGGGGATACATCTTCCATGCCAGGAATGCAGGCTTGTTCTTTGAAAGGTCCAAAACAAGAAAGAAGCCATTGGCCACCTCTCTCTGCTGCCAGTACTTCTTCAGCAACTCCAAGTCTTGAAAGAAAGAATGAAAGAGAAAAAAAAAACATTTCGCATTTCTTCTTACAATATTTCCTCACTAAATACTTACACAATACTTTTACTATCTCCATATGATTTATTGCCTGCTCCCTGACCACCTACTGCTACATCAAAATAGTTTATTATCACATTAAATAGTTATAAAAATTTAATGAAAGAAAAGTTATTGATAAACAACTAGTCAATATATACCAAATGCCCCATGTTCGAATCTACAATATTGTCCAAATCGACAGTTACCCTGTTGAAAATATTTACAGACAACCATTTTCGTTGACAAATAAATCAACAAAAACAATAATGAAATAATAATAATCGATGTGCTTTTACTATTTGTGCACTTGAAAATTTTCACGAGTAATCATTTATTTTACACTTCGACAAACAAGTAATTTCAAATAAAATTCAGCATGGGTTATGGGTCCGCGAAAAATGACGCGTTTCTCCCAATCACAAAATACGGTAATGAAACAACCACTAGGTTGTAGGTTATTATATATATAATAACATCGAGTTTCCATTCCCCCTCCTGCCGCCATTCATGCTCTCTTATATATATATATATATCAAAGAGAGAGAAAGTGGTGGTGGCGTAGTAGTCTAGAGGATTTGACAATTTTCTAGCGCGAGTTTCTAATAACAAGAACAAGAAAGATTGTGATTATTAACAGGATCAAGGATCAAGTATTTTAAACATATCATTTTTCAATTTTCAATAATTGACAGTTGATTTTTTGAATAGATGTAGGTATTGACTATAGGTATGTATGAATTTTGTGATATATTTCAGGCTGAATAGAGGCTGATTAGAAAATCATCGCATTGTGATTAATTTTTCACTCATCTTGTTTTTTTTATTGTAATTTATTTGACTTCAGTCTTCTGATGTAGGCATATGAACACAAATAAGGTTTCTTACATCTAGGAAGAATGAAAATTCGTTCATTAGGAATAATTAAATGATTTTTTGAAATTTTCGTTCAGGAATGGCCTATTTATTACAACTCTTCTCATTATGTACATTTTATTCATTTTTTTTACTCTATTCAAAAATTGGAATAGAAATCTTTATCTTTGACATGTTTTTCAAGCATTGAATCAAAAAAGGAAACTCATTGACAAGTGAAACTGATTTACACAATTACCGCAGCTTTCGTTTTTCATTATTATTTTATTTATTCGAAATATTTTAATAAAAATGTTGACTAATTTCATTCAATATTATCTTCATCTTTTCTCCCTTATAGTTTCATCACACCAACTCACTCAGCATACTCATATCTCTCTGTGTGCTTATACAAAGGTATTATAAAATCTTATTGTATTTGAAAATAATGAAAAATTCATTTTTTTTTGTTTACAATAATTTAAAGAATTAATTTCATTATGTATCTGATATTATTCCGCAGGTGTGCAACAATGCCTAATTTATGTAATTACTAATAGATACGAAGAACAAATCAAAACCAAATTCTTCGGCTTTCCTGTTATTCCATTAACATAGGATCGGAGAATTGATAAATGCCTTTCACCTTTTAACATAAATAACCGTTGGAAAACCGTAAAAAGAATAGTGTGCTGACTATGCTTTCATTCACTTTTGTAATAATAATTTTTTTGAATATTATGATAATATTCGTATTGAATACTATTGTATTGCATTGATTCACATTATTCCACGAAACAAACATTAATTAATTCTCATCTTTATCGTTCACAATGAAGAAGAAAAAAGAAAGAAGAAAAAAATGACTTGTGAAGTTTTCCTCGGTCAGATGTCAGTGACAAGAGCGGTTTTTACTTTGGTAAATGAAAACTAGTGGATAACCAAATTAACTCGAAGCATAAAATATAACTTGCGATAAAATGGGCATAGTCATTCTGAGTTTTTCTATATGCCATAGCATAGCATTGAAAATTTTCAAGAAGAAAAACAATCAATCTTTTGTTTTTCACAAATGTTCGTTAATCATCTAAATCATTAACATGTAGAACCTCTCTATGTGTGAGACCAGCTTTGTACAGGCTCATATTTTCCACTGTTGGATAGAGGATTCTCTTTGGATAGCTGGTAGTTATTTCAAAGTTGACTGGGGAATCTGGTTGACTGAATATCCAGTAATAAACATCCTGAAATATTTCATATAAAAATGTTTTTACCGATATATTTTTTCATCAATCATTAGTCTATTATGAAAAACAATAAAATGGTAAGACCATTGAAAACGACAAAAAAATGATAATTTACCTCAACCGTATTTGACATAAGAAACCTTCGAATAATGGTTCTTCCTCCGAGTTTAATTTGAAGATGACAAGAATTTGGATGGCCCAGTGCAGGCTCAACAGGTACTTTTTCAACAGTTAATTCTTTCTCACGTTGTATACGTTGAATTTCCATTTCTTGGGCATTAATTACCGCTCTTTCCTGTGCTTCTCGTTCCTCCTTTGCTTTCTTTTCCTCCTCTCTCCTACGATCTTTTTCTTGATCTGCCCTGAGAGATTCTTCATATGCTTGGTCTTGCTGGAGTCTCAATGATTGATTTGCACTGCGCTCAGCTCTAAATATATCATATAAATTTTCATAACATATCTGACATATCTTTTCTCATTCAATATTATGTTTAAAAATTTCCCTTTATCACTATCATTATTTTACCTTTCATGACGTGCTTGAATTAAATTGATTTCATTATTATCAATTATAGTTTTGAGTCGAAGCATCAATTCAGATACTGAGGGGGTACCTTCCAGCCTTGAATAATGAAAATTTCTAATTAAAACACTTGTATGCAGATTTTGTCTCCTTAATCCTATAAATGAAAATATTGTGTACATCTTACCTTCCCACTATAGTCATCCTGTTCTCTTTCAAAACAATTAGAGCGAGGAATGGATAAGTACCGGACTTCAGTGCTTCGGCTACTTTGTAACCTTCGCCAGATTTTATATTACAAGCCCAGAATAGTGTGTGAGTGTTGATAAAACGAATTAGCTCTGTATTAGTCAAAGAAATCCTATTGAAATTGAGTGAGTGAAAAAACAATGACATGACATTAATAAGTATTCAACAACAGTGAAAATGTCATACCTTTTTATTTATTTATTTATTTTTTAAATTGCATACCTGCACCATTGATCGACACTCTGGACATCATCTTTGTGGAGATAAACGAGTAGGAATCTCAACTCTTGTTTAGCATCAGAAAGTGCTTGACTGTACGATCCCTGATAGAATACTGGATGATTCATACCGTATCTCTCTTCAAATGAACTTATAAATCTTACTACATCTTGGACAGGATCAGCAGATACTATTATTATAAGGTAAGCAATTTTCAATAAGAAACAATGATTTCACTTTAATATTTAATATGCATGGGCAAGGTGCACAAAATATTCAAACTCACCCGGTCTTACATTTGTCCTGAATATAGCAAATAGAATGTGCAGAATACTTGTAACTAAATTATAACACATGGAAAATATAAATGATAAAAAACCACCGCCACCACTTGCAGAGCTTCCTGATGGGCTGAAATAAATTCTCGAATTGGTATCGTCGACAACAGCTGGTGGCCTCGCTCTCGAGTCTTGTGCATACATCGATGGTCTGCCTTCATACAAATTGAGTTGCTCCTACGTACAAGGTACAACAAAAAATTACACGAAAAAACTTGAGGTAAATTTCAGTCATTCACTCAATACCCCATGATTTTTTGTTGTCAATTTTTTCACTTGACTTGATTTTTTCTCTTGGACTAGTTCGTAGATGATGCATGAAAAGCATGAAAAGAATGAAAATTGTAAAAATTTCATACCTGAACTGCAACCTCCAAGTTCCAATTGTGCCTCTGCAGAACATCACGACAAATTGAGAGATCTTCAATTCCCGTCAAATCCTTGATGAAAATTAATAAATGAGTATGCATATTTAAGGATAAAAAGTTGGAAAACAATTTCGTGGTCTACCTGAAATTGAAGAACTTTTTCCGTTTGATCACTGTTGAGTTCACCGAGTGCATTATCAGCCATTTTACTGTTTTTTTTTTTCAAGCGTATTATAATATTAATTTGAACAATAAAAAAGACGATTTATACCCGACACATATACTATATTGAGATATGTATATATATATATATATATATATATATATAAATATATACATAAGTGTCAATATCTATATATATATATATATATATATATATATATATATGTTATATAAAGATGTAGGTATAGATTTATTAATGATGATACGTTAAATTAATGTTTTTCTTTCTTTCTTTTTCCTTTCTCTCCAATTAAAATTGGAAGGAACGGCTGCATCAGCTGATGACGCAGTTCAACTGTGAGGCTATTTTCATGTCAAAATTTTCTCTATATATGTACAGCTAGAGGTTGGAAAACTATGTATTGTATGCTATAACCTCAGAGAAACATTTACACTTTATTCACTTATACATCTCCCTAAAATTACGTTGATTTTAATTATAATGTTCAATATTTGTAATCACCTAATAATTCATATTCTTTCAAAAAATTTTCAAATTCTTTTTCTCCATTTCGCCATATTATTTTTCATTTCATTATAATGAGAAGAAGAAAACAACACATGTATGTGTATGTATGTAATTTTTGGCAATGAAACTGGAGATTTTCATGAAGCGACACGCTGAAACAGAACACACAACATGATAAAATGGGGGGAAAATTTTGAAAATTTAGAATTTAAAAAATTTTGCAAATATAACACATAATTTATTGAGCTCTCAATTAATTACAATGACGGAAAGAGTGAATCAATTAAATTAATAACATTAATGGCCATTTCTTTACATTGGCCATAAGGTTCTTCTCTGGATGACTCATGGGACACATCCATCAGCCATATTCTAAGCTCCAGTAATAAATCAAATATTACACCAGTAAAATTAGACTTTGACACAGCAACTATAACAGCAGCGATGCTCTCTATGACACAACATCTTACCATGGCTTGTTCATGGAATCTCATGTTCCAGGCAAATTCTAATAATTCTCGTGCCATTTTTGGAGCAACTATACAATTTTCAGCAGCCACCATGATTGTAGATAGTGTTTTGATAAAATTAATTAATAGTAAATTGCTATGATCCTCAAAATGCTTTGGAGTATTGAAAATATTATTTTCATCTCTCGTTCGTATTCCATAAAAGAGTGGATAGAAGAAGTACGAAGCCACATCATTGAACTGATTGATTGTTGTTAGAGAACGCTTTGAAGGATGTGCAAAGACTTTGGTCTTTGATTTAATTCTTTGAGCAATGATTTTCTCATTTTCTACTATCGTCATACATTTTTCAGCATCCAAGTGTTTTGATATTTCAAAGTCATCGTCATCATATAAAGTTTCAACTTTTTTTCCAATATCCGAATTTACAAATAGAGAGATGATTGGCTTAGAGACCGATTGTATTTGACTTTTTCTTTTTATATTCTTGAAATACATTTCTTTGTCATTCATTGTCTCATTGTTTACCTCAACTTTTGACAATTGTCGAGCAGCTTCAGCCAAAACATTCAAAAAAAATAATCTATCATTAACGGAGTGACTTCCTACTGTTGCATGGAATTCTCTGCATAGGTATTCAGCTGAGATTTTAGGATAAATTTTAGTTATTGTCACGCAAGCTTTAAATTTCAGAATATTAAAATTTTTTACATAAGTTATTTCTGTTAATTTGGAAATAATGCTTAGCAATTCGAGGGCCAATGATGCATCATCGTTTGGAAGTTGAGACATTAGGAGTTTTTCACAGCATTCAAGAGACTCTGCAAAAATCCTAGGATCAGTGTTAACTGTTGAATCTACAAGAATTTCTTTCAACTCTCGGAGATACATCGGTCGATGATTTTCACAACTTTTTCTATCGTTTGACATATCATAGGGGATTAAGTCGTCATCGCTATCTAGACTATCATCATTGGCATAATTACTTGGGCAAAATTCGCTTCTATTATTTTTTACATCATCATCATTATCATCATTATTATTATTACTATTCGTTGTATCATTCATTTCCTTATTATCGATATTTATCTCGTCATTTGCCAGTAAAATTTTTGATTTTACACCTAATTTTATAATTAACGCTTCAGATGTGATATTTTTATACGACGAACAATAATAGCTGTTGTCACACTTTTCGTTAAAAAATTTTTTCAATTTGCATACAATATTCACACCCTCTTTTGGCATTGAATCATAATCATATTTTAATTTTGGTCTATCAGGTTCATTAAAATAATTGACAATTAATTCCCCTGTTATCATACCAATCGCTCGGATTTCCACTTGTATACTTTCCAAATGAGCTGAAGTTCCAGAAAACAATAACTCTTGAATAGAATCTTTCTCCATTGGTTTCAATTTTCCATTTACTTTTTTCATCAATAACAGTATTATTTTTGTGATAAATTCCTGCTGTTCCAGAGTTGTGTGATTTAATGCACTCCTATCACCCCAAATATCCAAAAGTTTAATGATCAAATTAATGAAATTTTGCTCGGAATCCTCGCATAATAAACAATTGATCAAATTTATAATTATTTTGTCATTATTAAAATAGGAAAAGAATAAGAATTTCTTCATGAGAATGAATTTCCAATTCTCGTGTTTCATTAAAACTCCAAGTATCTTTTCAACATCGTTAGGATTCTCAATATTTTCCAAAAATAGTAGTGCAATTGATGCAATGCTGGCTCTTGATATATTCATCAAAATATCTTGAACTAAACTTCTTAATGAGTTTTTATCTTCCAAAGACAAGTGAATCATAATCTCAATCAATTCTACAAAATTTTCAGATTCAAAATTTGACAAAAGTTTACTAATCAATAACGAAAGTGCTTTTACATCACAAACAGCAGTATCTCTATTTAACTCTTCATTCAGCAATGTAATGGTGCCAATTATTTGAAATGAAATGATTTTTGAGAAATTATTGATGGAAAAAGTTTCGCAAATTTGACGACCTTTTACTTTATTTGAAACTTTTACCGGCAATGAAATGACAATTTGAATGTAATCTCTACGAGCTTTCTCATATTCTTCCCTTTTCAATTCATTTGCACTTTTAATTTTACAAGCAGAAACAATAGAAGATACTAAAGCATCACTTTTCAAAATTTTTTCAAGCATTAAAATCATAAACTCCACAGCATCTTCGTTCATCGATTCTTTAAGGTATTCAGTAATAGATGCCAACAGTTCATGGAGCATAAGAAAATTCGAACCTTTGACAATCATTAAGTTTTCAATTGAGGTATTGAGTCTCTCCTTTAAAATGCTAAAATTTTCATCAAATGTTGAAAGAAATGCCCTAATAATTTTTCCGTACAGTGATTTATCGACATTACTTTCACTGCCAGTTGGCTTGTTGTCGATTTCCCAAATAATTGATTTTTCCAGAAACTTTGTATATTGCCAAATGTCATTTTCCAATTGATCTAGAGATTTTTCACTATTGAATGGCTTTAACCAATTCAAGGTATCCAAAAGCTGCTTACCAGCCTCCTCCATTTCTACTCTTTTGATATTTTTACTCTCCTTAATGCTGAAATAATAATAATATCAATTAATTTTTCACCTAATATTATGACATATATATTCATTCAAATATACTTGAAAATCAATACATAACCATAAACATACGTTTGGTTCTTCACAACGAATTATTATCATTGTTTCATATATCGTACTTAAGAGAATGGAAAAACATGATTTTCATCATCATAAGTGAAGAAAAAAAAACAAGACATGTATTTCTTAACAATTATCTCTCAATTTTTATGTATTATTCTATAACTGTTGTATGAGTTGAGCTTGACCTGCACTGAGAAAAAAACTAATTATCTTCAATGGGTCATGGACTTTGGAGAGCAGATGGAGAATGGAATGAGAGGCTCCAATTGTCCAGGGAATCTGTTCCGCCCGCCTTTCGTATTTAACTGTCGCCATTTTCCCTAGAACGTGTTCTAAAACTGAATGTTGTTTGTTGTCCATGTTCGTCGTCTCATGTGTGTTATATTAACACAAGTGGTAAAAAGAAAAATAAATTACACCTAAACTTGATAAGCAATGTCTGCAGAATCGGAGGATATTAAAATTCAAATTCAGAAAACATTGATGAATATCAATGATGTCACTGAGAAAATGTAAGTGCATTATTATTGATTACTGTCTAGCGTAGTCTAGTACAAATGATAAATTACCAAGTGTAGAGTTTGCATTTATTTACCATCATTTAGAAAGCGGGAAATGGGAATGATAAATGAAATGGTGAAGGCTAAAGGACACCTCACACTTACAATCGATGAAGCAAATGACACTTTAGCCAAAGTTGCTAAGAAAAGAGCAATCAATACTGCTGATGAATTTCGGGATCCTCAAAATATTCATGAATTTGATGATCTTCACTCACTGGATTCTGTCACTATGGATTTGATAACACAAAAATTGATGGCAATCATGGATAGTTGAAGAAATTTGGTATTATTATTCTATTTCTTTCTTCACCAAAACTTTATTCTTCAAGGATTTTTACTTGATTATTTTCTAATATACCATATAGATTTAATTTATTACATTGTTTTTTTTTTTTTTTTTTTCAAATATACATTGATGATGTGTAAAAATTATAATCTTCAATAGACAACTCAATTATTTTGCTCCACTATCACCCATTTACTCATCTTATTAATTTTTCATAGCTTCGATTCAGTCAACCAGCTGAACTTTTGCTCCTTACGATCTGCTGATGGATTTATCATAATGTTGATCAAACTTGGGGCATCACATGACTAGAATTGAATAATAAAAGAAGAAAAAAATGTTTACCAAAGGACCAGTGAATGTAGTGTCATTTTATTACTTATCATCAGAGCACATGATTCATCAAATACCTCGAGAGAAATTTTTATGGCCTTTTCAATCTGTTCAACGGTCTCGCAATAATGTCCTCGATGTCCAAACATTTCCATCATTTTTTCATATCGAGTTCCAGGAGTTAACAACTGAGGAGATATTCTGTAAGTGTTTAATTCATTGAAGAATATACCAAGAGCTGAATTGTTGAGAAATGTGATTTTTCAAAACATATATGGTTGTGGTATTCTATCCGACTCCTACGATATTAATTACAAGACTTACACTTTGGTTGGCTCCCCAGCAGTTTGAATTTGCTTGAATGTCTCTTTGTCCATTCCACCGTATATTCCATTATTATTAAAAATTATAATAACGACAGCCAGCTTATATCTATTAGATATATGAAAAATAATCAGAATGATAATATGAAAAAATTATAATCATGACAATCTTCTTGGAGAATAATTTTACCTGAACATTGTTTCAATTTCCATTGCCGAGAAGCCAAAAGCGCTATCGCCTTCCACGCAAATAACTTTTTTTTTAGAAGCCACATCTTTGCAGTAAAGAGCCGCAGCAATAGCAAATCCCAAGCCCACGCCCATAGTTCCAAAAGTTCCTGCATCTAATCTGTGACGTGGTTTTGAATTTAGAAGCATGGTTCTACCAATATCCATTGTATTTGCACCCTCAGAGCAAATAATACAATCTATAAGAAAAAAATTAATAAAATTGGTATCCATATAAAAATTGACCAATAATGATATTTTATACCTTTTGGAATAGATTGTTGAATAGACTTGAATACAGTGTAATAATTCAAAGGCACGGAATTATCAGCTGACATCCTCTAGAATGAATAACAATAACAATAATAATAATAATAATAATAATAATAAATGTATAATAATTGATTGAATAATTAATTACCTGAATTCTTTGTTTATTCTTTTGTCCATCAGTCATTAGTTGCATCCACCATTTGTCTTTTTTATTCATGTAGTAATGTCTTTTTTTAAGAGACTCTGTTAATAATTCAACACTTGGTATTAAATCAGCTTGAATTGCAATTGTTGATGAGACTGAATTATGCAATTCCTCCGGGCAAATGTCAATCTATGAAATTTCAATTATTTGTCATGATTCAAGATTCATGGTGGATAAAAATTATCATATTGTAATGTAATAGTTGGGATTTTCTGAGACTCTCAGACCTGAATAATTTTTACATGATTCTGGAAGCGTGGAGCTCGTCCAAAGTGCAACATCCAATTCAATCTAGCTCCAAGAAGAACAACAATATCAGCATTGAGCAATGCTGAAGTTCTTGAACTAGCAACTGAATTTTCATCATAATCGGATATCACCCCTTTTCCCATAGGTGTAGGAAGAAATGGCAAACCCGTTGAGCGAATGAAATTCGTTATTTCATTCTCAGCTCGGGCATAAGCAGCTCCTTATTTATAAATAATGAAAGAGCTATTTTTCCAATTTTATTAATTAACAGAAAACAAATTGATGAACAATTTTTTTCAATACTCTGTAATTTAAGTCATGTTTCGGGACCCATATATACCATATACCTTACCTTTGCCGATGATTATTAATGGTTTTTTCGCTATGAAAATCAAATCAGCAGCTTCATATATCAACTGTGGAGGTGGATAGATTAAAGGAGGCGGTGGACAAGGTAAAACTTTCACTATTAAATTCTCACACACTTGTGATTTCAAGAGAGTCGCTGGAAGATCTAAATATGCCGCTCCTGTGAAAGAAAGAAAGAAAGAAAGAAAGAAAATTCATTTCTATTTCAACAAAATGTCAAACTTTTAATTCATATACCTGGGCGTCCATAAGTGGCAAGCCTAACAGCTTTTTCAACATGTAATGGAATTAGAGCAGCTGAGGGGGGTCTAGCAGCATATTTGCAATATACTCGACATGCTTCAACTTGTGGATATTCTTGAAAACCACCAATGCCTTGATGGTCCTCTGGGCAAGATCCTCCAAGTACTATTACAGGCCTGAATGTTCATGAAAATGTAAATTGAGGACATCCAACATAGACTGCTTGTGCCACAATCAAGTAAATTTTTTATTTTTATTTTTTACCAACAATTCACTTGAGCATTTGCCATTCCGCCTACTGTGTGGAGTACACCTGGTCCAGATACACATAAAACCACTGCTGGTTTCTCTATTTAAAAAAAAAAGCAAAAAATTAAATTTCATTACAGAGATGTTTTTCGAAATATAACAATGATGATGAAAGAAAAATAAACTCACTCGTTAAATATCCATAAGCTTGAGCTGCATAGCATGCAGCTTGTTCATTCCTAAATCCCAAATATTGGATGCCTACTCCTTGCATTATTAAGGATAATTCGATAACAGGGTGACCCATAATTCCAAAAGCATAATTTATTCCCTGATCAATCAATAATAATAATAATAATAATAATAACAATAATAACATTAAAAAGGAAAATACAATCTATATTTTACCTGGTGTTTCAAGGCCTCAGCTAAAATCAAATTGCCATCTTTCACCGCCATTTTTTAATTTCCCATTTACAATTCTTTTTGTCAGATCTACTATAACATCAAGTCCAAAGTTACACTCACACTTCGGCTACATACAGAAATCCCCGCTGCGCATTTACGCATTCTGTAAGTTGAACTTTGAACATTTTTCACGTGGAGGATCACTCAATGGAAAAAACCGGAATCTTCATAATCGACTACCAACTGTTTGTCGATCACGGATTATTATAAGGATATCTATATACCTTGCTTCTCATTGAGTTAGGTAGGTATGATTTTTTCTTTGAGTTTGTAAAAATTCAATCAACTCATTGTTAATCATATTCATATAATTACTGATGTATATGAAATAAATTATTGGTTATAAAAATTTAAGAGAAAATATTAACAGTGTAAATTTGACTGACAGTCAGAATCATATGTACTTATGTACATACATATTGGATTTTATATAAAATGAAATTTATTTTCACTCATCAATACACTGAATTATTCTTATACCATTCACCAATTCTATTTTAATCGTCTCTTTCTATGTTTGCTTACAAACAAGTTTGTCTTGCAAAGAAAGAGACGCGGGTGCAGATCGATAAGTCGTCCACCTCGAGCGATATTTCCTCGTATGTGTATTTAGCAGCTATATATATATATATATATATATATAGCTTATATATAAAGTTTAGCGTCGCGATGATTACATGGAACACACGACATCAGCAATGCGGCAATCGCTTGTAGTGTGCATTGTATATCATATCCTGGTGCAAAATCTCTTCGTGCATTTAAAGATTTCAAGAAAAGAAAAAAAATCATATACCTATACTTGCTTCTATCAAGAATAGACAACAGACCAATTGTTGCCTGAATTCTGACATGTAATAGTTTAAAACTTTTTCCTTAAACTTGCATTAAATTATTCGATGCATGTCCATGTTTTAGTTCAATTTATCATAAAGAACGAATCGGTGAGCCGGAATTGTCGAGTATTGATTAAACCAACTTTGAGCTTTATGCTCAGCACACGAGAACTTGACTTTACCGCGGGATATACTTCATCTATATACTTTATTCCCAATTATCTAATGGAGAAAAATCCATAATTCATATTTATTCAACTAAATCCAAAATTTTGTATGCACTAATGAGATGTACACAAGTGATTTATCTCGCCATGAGAATATCAATCTTAAGATTCTGCTTATAAGATTTTTGCTTTACATATATTATTAGGCAATCTAGACAGTTTTCATCATATTTTATTATATTTCCCTAATGGGATTTTTATTTCTTCCATTATCCCCATTATGATCTTGAATGGATATCTACTTTCCAACAAATATAGGACAAAAACAGAATCTATCTGGATCTGTCTGATGAGACGAATTCCAACAAATTTTCATATCCATAAAATTATTACTGGACTCAAGCCCAGTTAATGGATTGTATAAATAATTGTTGTGGATTTTTTTAATGGAGGTGTAGCATGCAATAACAGTCGTCGACCCTCCTCAAAGGAGAGCTATGATAAAAACAAGTGAAAAATTGAGTGATATATAGTGATACAATACAATGTCAAAACTGACCTGCACCAACTTTATTTCTTCTTCGAATGTCGGTTCTCCACTCTATTCCCCACGCGATCCATCTACATAAATACTCCCATATAGGTATTGTATAATAGGTCAAGCCGCTCATTTTCAATGGTTATTCATTTATTTTTTATTTTTTCGTATATACATAAAAATATAATAAGAATATAAATGATTGCCTCTCGTCCCATTTATCACTGGAAACGTTGATTCATGAATATTAGATTATATAATGAAAATCTGAAGACTCTCAATCAATAAGTTATTTTTAATGAACTAGCAAACTAACGACTCGCGGATATTTTTTCCTTCCACTTTTCTCAACAATATTCCTCAGCAATATTTTGACTTGGAAATTGTTTGTAAAAATACGAAATACATTTTTGTTTTTCTAAACTTTGGAATATATGTAGGTATGTATAATTCATACAACAGAGATCATACATACATTGATCATCAGTAGTAAAAGCTTTGTCGATATGGCTAGAACCTGTCGAGTCTATCTACCTCCCACTTTTGTGATCCTTGTCCGCGCGTGAATCTACTCTGAAAAACGTAAAATATTGCGCATGCGACTCCACTTGTACCTAGTGATACTCATAGGTCAGAGTGAGAAGGGTAGTTTCTGTTTAGTTGAATTTTCCCACATGTTGCGCCTGAGTACATGGGCGCAAGTCTGCTAGCCAGGATCACAGGACAGAGAGCCGCCCGGGCCATCACACCAGTAGATCGGGAAGACAACCTCAACCTCTCGTTGGGATTAAAAACCCCTTTTTCCTCATCTCCTCTTATCACCCTTTCCCATTTCAGTTACGCGATTGCCATCATACAATACACACGTTTTTCCATTTTTTCTCACCGATTCGCCTTCGCCAAAAAGCAAAAAAATCAAAAGGAATTTTTTCCTTTTTGCTTTTTGCTTTTTTCTTCACTAATGATAAATTATAACATTTATTGTGTGCTGAAAAATAGTGAAATATTGGACAATAGTGCTTAAGTGAAAAATTTTCATCTTCACAAAGAATTTTTCAAGATGCTCGAGAATTAAAAATTCATTTTTGAGGTGAGTTAACTTTCCATTGTCATTATTTAAAACGTCCGGTCAATGATAAATGGAGCGCAATTTTTAATTCTGAACAATAGATTGAACAATGTTTTCGGCCAATTAATTTCCGCTCATCTAATAATCATGATTATAGCTACTTGAATTTTTCAATTTGCAAGAGGAGTTGGACTCCATTTACCTGTAAAAATTATAATAAACATTCTTGAAGGATTTGTGAGATTTCATCATAGTTTCACACACACAAAAAAAATTGTACGGTTTACCGCTTCAAGTATTTAATATTGGCCTCTATTCAGATTGTCACATCATTTATTTATCCATTTCCATACATTACAAATGAATGTATCAATTGATGAGCTCAGTCTGGTGTAATCACGACTCATAATGACTCATTGAATTTTCATATTTGAAAAATGCTCCTAATAATAACAATTTTACAGATTTGAGCGGCGAAAGGATCATCAGGAGGGGCTCCAATGCCAGCCAGGAAGGGTTTATTGGCTCCCCAAAATACCTTCTTGGACACTATTGCAACGAGGTTCGATGGCACACGTGAGTATTATGCCAATATAGTGAAATGGAATGTCAGCCCTGCTCTCGAAATTCTTATTAATCATGTTTATAAATGCAGGTGCAAGAAGGAGATAAAAAAAAGAGAGAGTGTGTAATTACAGCAATAGAATGGAGCAGAAAATTCGGTTTTTTTTCAGCACCTTTCCATAGCACTCATCGATCCAGAGGGAAATCAGGTCGACTCGAGATCCGAATAGGGGATGACCGTGGGGCACTTATGTCGCGATTTTACTCACTTGCAACACAGACAAATATCATTAGAGATTAAGTCCTACTACTACAAAAGCTCATTCTCTAAAAATACCTACTAATACGAAAGGATTCATTTAATAGTGCAATAATATCGTCATTTATTTTAATTCTAATTTTTATGAATAAAGAGAATATACTTAATGCTCCAATAGAACCATTCTCCATTTTATGAAAAATATATACAATATCTACCCTTCGCGCTCCGTCATGTGTCTGACTACTTCTGGGACAAACTACTTGACCTAGCATGGAATACGATGCAATTGTCATTCACTATACATATATCTAAATGTGGATATTTATCGGGTATTTTGGTTTTTCCCACAAGGACACATTATAAAAATGACGGAATATTATTCCTTGTATAGTGAGGGCATTGCCCCTTGAGGTGCAGCGATTCATTTGACCCCAATCTCATCGACTCTAACTCGCGACTTTAAACATAGGAGCAAATATTTGACAAATTATCAATTGTTTATCACCATTCAACGCCTTCCCAACTTGTTTGAATAGAATCCTGTTGAGAATAAGAATATTAGACAGTGTAGAGCAATAAGAAAATTATAAGTGAGTTTTTGATATTTACGACAAAAATAGTCTGAAGATTATTTGGATATAAGACTAACCCATATAGCAAAAAATATTGAAAATTTCTATGGCTTAAATAAATAAACTTGTACAATGAAAGTGCATCAATTTATTGGCATTAGACAACAGGAATCACTGAGAAATGAAAATTAACCATATGAATTGAGAAGTAAGAGGATATTGGCGGGATATTGCGGCTGTGACCACACGTAATCATTCATCCAACTATGATACGTGATTAGTACACAAGGCCATTATATTCTACAACGGTATATATGGCACCACAGATAATTTGAAATTGCACGTGGTGTTAATATGTACCACGTAGAAAAGACTTTAAATCGTTGAATATATTTGTATACATATATATTTATTTACGCGTACTTTAGTAATTGTGATGAAATGTCACGTATTACTAATCTGCATGTGCATTATCTCATTTCTTCGGCAATATTTTTAATGTTGAAGGATATTAAAAAGTTAGGATACTATGTACATCTGATGGCCGCTCTACTTGTTTTTTCTTTCTTTTGTTGATCGATTTTTAGATAGCAATTTTGTTCTTGGAAATGCTCAAGTAGTCAAGACCTATCCAATAGTATACTGCTCGGATGGATTCTGTGAGTTGACGAAATATCCTCGGGCACAGATAATGCAAAAGGGATGTGCTTGTAAATTTCTATATGGTCCAGAAACGACAGAAGATAATAAAACATTAATATGGAAAAGTCTTGAAAGCAAGACAGAATTGAAACTTGAGGTGGTATTCTACAAAAAAGATGGCAAGTAACAGTGAGCCATGATATATTTTCAATAATGACAATTATTTTATCCAAAAAACGACCAGTTTTTTTTGTAAATTAATTATCCATTTTTTTGTCCAGGTGAAAAGTTTAACTGCTTACTCGACATTGTTCCAATAAAAAATGAAAAGGGAGATGTTGTGCTATTCCTCGCATCTCACAAAGACATAACAGATACAAAAATTCTCCCGCGCCGTGACTCTGATGATGGTTAATATACTTGATAAAGTTTTCTTTCCATTTAATTAAATATTAAATATTGTTGAAATGAAATGAATGGAAAATTTTCATTTTTAATAAATAATTCATATGTGCCCTAGATGGAAATGACGATGTCGATCCAGAAGCACCATCAGCAGACTATGGCCGAAGACGACGAAGCCGTGCTGTTTTATATACATTATCCGGCCATTATAAGCAAGATAAACACAAAATCAATATCAACAAGGTAAACGATGTAGGATTAAATAATATACAATTATTTTTTCCCCCGAAAACTATTCTTTTCCATGAAGGCATTGTTAATAAACTCTGTGCTCTGTATCAGCATGATTCATTCAATACAAGTAATGTATATTATTATTATTATTATTATTATTATACATGGTTTATCAGCAATTATTGCACTCGCCTGCCGCTCCATTACCTGAGTACAAAACCTCTGCTGCCGAGAGATCTCACGCCATTCTGAGCCATTATGGAGGGTTCAAATCTTGTTGGGATTGGTTGATACTCATTGCTACATTCTACGTCGCTGTTATTGTACCATACAATGCAAGTTTTGTTAACGTCGGTAGACCTTTTATGATTAGTGATGTCATTGTCGAAGTACTCTTCATATTCGGTAAGGAAATTATTTCATTTTATAATGACTGTAGTTTGTCAATTATTTAAATTTGCTACTTTAATCTTTTCCAATATAGTACTTAGCTCATGTTATGTTTGAAAAAATTATGTAAAAAATACATATTATTCCAGATATTGTGTTGAATTTTCGAACTACTTATGTTAGTAGAAAAGGAAAATTGATAATTAACGGAAAAAAAATTGCAGTCAATTATTTAAAAGGATGGTTTTTGATTGATCTCGTTGCTGCTTTACCATTTGACGTTCTTTATGCAGCTGATGTTTACAGTGGTGAGGTCAGTGTACATTACGATGCATTATTTAAAATTAACGAAATTTTTTCACTCCCATAGTCAATAAATGTTTTTTTTTTTTTGTTCATAGGAACCAGGTCATGGTCACATTCACCTGATAAAATTGACGAGACTACTCCGATTAGCCAGATTGCTTCAAAAAATGGACCGATATTCACAGTATAGTGCTATGATATTGACACTTCTCATGTTGTCCTTTACTTTGTTAGCCCATTGGCTTGCGTGCATATGGTACGTCATTGCGGAAAAAGAAAGATTGAAAAAGGATAAAGATTGGAATTTAGGTGAGTCATCATCTTGTTTATCTATGGGTCATTACAAATTCAAATGATGGCAATTTCCATTTAGGATGGATCCATACACTAGCGGAACGCCTTCGCATTGATGTACAAAATGTATCACATACCGACAGCTATGTAACAGCCCTCTATTTTACATGTAGTAGCTTAACGTCTGTAGGATTTGGCAATGTTTCTGCCAATACTACATATGAAAAAATTTTCTCAATTTGCACCATGCTTGTGGGAGGTGAATAATAATAGTAATAATATATCATAGAAATTGACTAATATTATTAGCATTATGACATTTTCAAAAAATAAATAAACACAAATTTCAGCCCTCATGCACGCTGTAGTTTTTGGCAACGTAACTGCAATAATTCAACGTATGTATTCGAGAAGATCTCTTTATCATACAAAATGGAGAGACTTGAAAGATTTTTTGACCTTACACCAAATACCAGAAAAGCTGAAGCAAAGAATGCAAGATTATTTTCAAACAACATGGTCATTGAATCATGGTATTGATATTCACGAAGTAAATATGCATTCTTCTTCTTCTTCTTCTTCTTCTTCTTATGCAATAAAATTTAATAATATATTCTTCTCATCTCCTTTTGATTATTATATTAGACTCTCAAGGAATTCCCTGAGGAATTAAGGGGTGATGTATGTATGCATCTACATAGAGAAATATTGAGTTTACCAATATTTGAAGGTGCATCACAAGGATGTTTAAAACTACTGTCACACCACATACGAAGTAACTTTTGTGCACCAGAAGAGTATTTAATACGTAAGGGAGATGCATTATCATACATATACTACTTATGCAATGGATCTATGGAAGTCGTTCAAAATAGTATGGTTGTAGCTATATTAGGTAGGATATTTACAATTTAAAATAATAATAATAATAATAATAATAATAATAATAATAATAATAATAATAGTGTAAAATTAATGTGAAAATTATATAATATTGATTAATTAAATATAGGAAAGGGTGATCTTGTTGGCTGTGATATAAGTATGCATCTCCAACATGGAAATAATGGAAGTGGTTTAGTTGGTTCTGGAGGTGACGTTATTGTTAAATCGAGCTGTGATGTTAAAGCATTGACCTATTGTTATTTAAAATGCATAAATATTCAGGGTCTCGTTGACGTATTGAGACTTTATCCGGAGTATCAGCAGCAATTCGCACATGATATTGTTCACGATCTTACGCATAATTTGCGAGAAGGTTACGAGGTGGAGGTAATTATTTGTAAAATATAGAATTTTTTTCATTATCATTCGAATTCTATTCTATTCTATTCTATTTTAGGAAGAAGCAGATATGAATGGTATTCAATCGCAAACTGCTCTACCATCAATAAGTGAAGATGATGAGAATGTTCCGGATGAGGGGGAAACTTCCCCACTTTCTCCAGCGAATAGATCACCTCTTCATACTGTAAGCCCTCGGCACGCCAAGTTCAGGTGAAAATAATTCTTTTAGATTTACTCTTTATGAATAATAATTTAATACAATTTTTTTTTCATTTTTTTTTTTTCATAAAATTCATCATCATTATGATGAAATATTATAGATGTGAAAATCGAGATAGACGAATGGGAAGAGCTGGATTACGAGGTAGATTACAAGTGTTGGGACAAGAACCAATGGAAAGGATAGAGGCAACGCAGGTTTCTAGCGTTCATCAGGATGTCGTTGCACTGAGCTATGAGGTGTGGGCTATGAAAATTTCACTTTGATGATGACAATGGCTCAGTAATAATTTTATAATCATCTCTTTGTTGTTGAACAAATTATAGATGAGAAATGCAATTCAAGCACTTCAAGTTTTGGTACGTTCACCTCACAGTAATCCAAATTTACCCACACCAGCGGGACATGGTGGATCCAACGATCGTCTTCTTGCTAGAAGTTCGTCTCATCTACCTGATGGCCTTTGTTGGGAATCCCCGGCACGTTTAATCGATGTCAGTACACAGACTGATTGGCCAATTAATATTCTAGATCAATGGGTACGGGACAATTCCCACCGAGTTCTCCACATTCTTGGCCTTGATTCACAACTTGTCACTTGTCACAACCCAACGACTCCAGCATCTCCAACTCCTTCTCCTTCTTCCCCACCTCCACCTCCTTATGAGCCCCTTATTTCTCCTCATGGAATTACTCGTACTCCGTCACGATCCCCAATTGAACAACCTGACTTCTTCCACTCCTCTCCTTATTCTAAACAATTCAATAATGCTGAGTCAAAAATTTCAAAAATTTATCAAACATCAAAACCTTATTGGGAAACTGTCAATGAACTACCGCATCGATTTAGTGCGGGTGATGCTGATAATTCATCATCATTGTATCGTGCATTACATCGCTTGGAATATCTTCCGAGATCGAGATCCTTAAAATTCGATTCTTTCGACAGTTGAGCATTAAAATTATAATGATTATTAAAATGTTGTCATTCATTAAAATAAGGAGATAAACATTGATATTTTGCTATTTATTCTATAAAGCTATATCTTTATCTCTTTATTGTACAATTTTATGGCAAAATTTTATCTATAATTTCATTATTCCCAAAGGCCTATAATCTTGTGGAAGCTTTGACTGGACACCATATAAAATCTGGTGAAACTCCGCCACAGACATAATAATTATTCTCGTTGCAAAAAATGCCCAGTACAATCTTGTAATTGCACAATTACTCTAGAATTATTTTTTCTCATCATCATGATTTATTATCATTGTCATCCATACTGCCATTTTTTTATTAATAATAATAATGGACATTCAGCAATTTATATATTATAATAATATACCTACATATAAAGCATATTTACATATCTTTTTCATACATATCGAGCCCTACTCTATTCAATGGGATTTAACTATATAATAACATGTATTATTATTGTTATTAAACAATAATAATGGAGATAAGATGAGACATAAGAAAAACATTATAAATCATCTAAATACAATTACCCTCAACTGTATTATATTATTTGAAACACATTGATGTTGTCAATGTCGAGGGAGCCGTAACTGGGAAAATCCAAGGAAAAATCTGTCAAAACTATCAATTACATTGAATCAGCAGTGTTGTTTAAAAAAAAAATTAATCGTGTTCTTACAACAAAATGAAAGCTTAATATATATATTTATATATATATATATATATTTTGTTAAACTTTTTCTATGCAACCGTCTAATCACATTGCAATAGAGAAGCTCGTAACTTGTGTGTATGATCAGAGGGGCCCATCATTCTATATGCCTCTAATTATATCATTGAAGAGGTGAATAAATTTATCGTCGTTTAATTATTATACTTGAAGATATTGAGCATATCCAATGATGTCAATCGAGGTGAAGAAAATTATTGAAAGAATAAAGTATACTGTGTGTACCTCATTCATACATACTATATGAGAAAAAAGAAAAAAAATGAAAAAATTAATAAAATATTTAGAGCCATGTCAATTGTAATAATAAAAGATCACTTTTGTGCAGGTCACAGTGTGACATCACAGAGAGCTCAAAGTCGAGAGATGAGTTTATACACATACATACATTATGATAAGTAATTGTTAAAAACAAATTAATTTCCGATTGAAAGCTTATCGATCTAGAGGTAATAATAAGTTGAAGGTTTATATTCATGTTATTTTACGAAAATCCTAATAAGGAATTTATAAAACGTTGAGGCATATATATATATATATATATATATATATATATATATATATATATAATTGAATATTGAGATGATTGGACAAATAATCTTATCAATGGGGAAATTATTTATTTCCAATGAGTAAGACTCAACAACTCGGAATCATCCAATCATCCCTAATACCCTGACTTTTCTGAACAATAAGAAATTCATACATTAATTAATTAATACAATTAATAATATTAACACTCTATTCCCTCCAATATGATAATTCATATGTGCACACATTATTTCAAATTGAAACTTGAAATTTTCATCCATGAAAATAAATTATCATTCAAGAAATACAATAAATATAACTCATACAGATCACAAACAGCCCGAAAGAATAATCCGTTGTACTATTTTCCACAATAGTAAATGAAAAAAAAATTATCATCATGTAAGTATGTAAACTATAATGATTGTACAAATGAAATGTAAAACACTATATTATAATCTAATTATATCATAGCAGTAAAACTAAAGGAATTAATGTTGAATAAAAATAATGAGTAAATTGAAATAACCAAATTTTCCCCTCTCTCATCATTCCTGTCTTCTTATCAGTCAGTAGGTAGTTTTATTATATATTTGAATGAAATAGTTTGATAGATTTTAGGGTTTGTACGCATGTAGAGAATAAGGCGCGCACGCGCGCCTGTGTGCACATACACATGTGCATCTGCCTATGATTAACGCAAACTCTGTGCTCTGGTGTGGGCTGTTTCATTTTTCGATCTATGTTGAATGAACAGAAAATCAAATTTATATCATTTATATCATAATTATAATACTAGCCAACAACGGAACAAGTGACAGCAATAAGTCAACAATATCACCGACAAATTGACGAGTTATAGGAAACGTTGTCCACAAATTGTTATCAATTGGTAGTATCCAGATACATACTCCTTAATAACAACACACTTTGACATTTAACATTCTTCATTCATCTATTGTCCAGGTTTCTAATGAAAATTCATTTGTATTATATGGTAGCTATTATACTTTGTCTATGATAGTCTCTACTTTTCTCCCCTATATTTTTCTAACAATAAGAAATTTACGCCGATACTATAGTATATATGTTGATTATGAGCGATGCGTCATAAACAGTATGTGGCTGATGAAGTGATGGCCAAGTACCCACCCCCTTATTAAATTAATCATCATTTTCATAATGTACTATAAATGTTGTTAGCAATGATTCTCATAATGAACATTTTTTTCAGTCTCTTTTTCCTCCTCAACGTTAAACAACACATAATATGGCACTGTATCCATCTCTCGAAGACATGAAGGTGGATCAAATGATGAAGGTGAAGATGTTTGTTGATGTTGTTATTGTTCGACGGCCCCCCTTAAAACTAATTCTTTTTCCTTGTTATAAATAAAATTATTTAAATTTTCATAGGCCCAATTGCAATCAGAATATGGCGAATATACATCTCAGGTGAATGCAAACACAACTCCATCAATTCCATCAGCTCCAATTGCTGGCAACCGACAAGACTATGATGAATTTTCCGGAGCATTGTATCCAGCACTGAGAGACTATATGGGTCTTGAATTAACGGCTGAAATGATTGAGGCCAACATGCCTGAGTACTCGGTTACCATTGGCCAATCTGTAAGTTAAATCACCCGCCGCAATCGTAGTAAATATTTTATGCAATCACCAATAATGATGATGAAGATGATTAACACAACAATCATTTAGATGGCAGTTGCCACATCAGGACAAATTAACGGCATGATTGCACCAATTTCTGGTGATTCTCTGGGCTTACAACGAGCTCAAGTAACGAATGGCATTAGGGAGTTGACTCTCTGTAAGGATAAGGATGGAAAAATTGGACTGCGTGTGCACTCAATAAATAGTGGAATATTCGTTTGCCTTGTAAGTCCAAATTCTCCAGCAGCTCTTGCTGGCCTCAGATTTGGTGATCAAATCCTCGATATCAATGGAACTTCTGTTGCCGGTTTTTCAATGGATCAAGTGCACAAATTGTTGAAAAATGCCCCAGTTAATGGCATCAAGGTCATTGTCAGAGACAGGTGATTGAGTGTTTTGTTGATTTTATTAAATTTTTTTCATTTTTTCATTAATCCACGCGATCCCTGCAATCTCTTTTTTATTAATAAATTTACTTCTCTGTAGACCATTCGAGCGCACAGTCACAATGCACAGGGATAGTTCTGGCCAAATTGGTTTTCAATTCAAGGAGGGAAAAATAATAGCACTCGTTAAAGACTCATCAGCAGCTAGGAACGGACTCCTTACTGATCACCAAATTTTGGAAATTAATGGCAAGGTGAGCAATTGAGGATAGTTAAACGCAATATTAATCTCATTAGTCTTTGTTAATTACCTAGCTGTGATGATTATTTGGAAAATTTTCAAAATTTCAGAATGTTGTTGGCCTCAAAGACAAGGACATTGCCGCTGAAATATCAAATGGCCCCGCAGTCATTACAATCACAGTGATTCCCTCATACATCTATGATCATATGATCAAAAAGTAAGTAGGCCAAGTAAAATATATCTATGTATTTAACAAAAACATATTGATCAAAAATATTCTCATTTAGGATGTCAAGCAGTCTCTTGAAACTGATGGATCACTCATCCGCCAACTTTTGAATGTTTCCGACAAGAAATGATGAAAATGTTTCATCTTCATCTACTCTTTTTTATTTTTTATTTTCATCCTTTATTGTTATTATTTTCATCATTTTTATTACTGATATGCCATTTGCATAGATTAATGAAATATTTTTAACGAAAAAAATGCCAATCAACAGTTGTTGCAACTATTGGAAAGTTCATTCCTGTTTTTCAATATGCCGTTAAATAGTTTCATAAAGAAATATTAGTGACCGAGTAGTGCAACGCGATAATTTCAACTCATTTATTTAGAAAACGTATATACACCATTCTATAATATACGACAAAAAAATGTAGAAAAAGGTGAACAAATAATAGGGGCAAACAGGATGGAATATATAGTATATCGTTATTATTACATATTAACATCAATACATGTGTAGAAATTTATCATGTTGATATACTTTTTCACATATTATTATTATTATTATTATTATTATTATTATTATTATTATTATTATTGACTGTAAGAGATAATAAAAAAAAAGTAATTAAAATAAATACATGTTATTTCTTTAGAAGAAAAAAAAATCGGTTACGCTCTCTTCTTCATTATTATCTAGTCTATAGTTAAAATATACCGGAATAACCTATAGTGCATGCGTAACAATTCTAGTATGTACAATGTCTGCTTGGCTGACTGACTGTCATCCGCGAATAAAAGATTTACGTCTTTAGTATGATCAGTGCAATTTTCAACTTTATTGATATCAGTTTCGTTAAAAAGTATTTGATTGAAACATTTTTTAAATATGTTCGAGCCAACGGAAGTAGGCAAGGTAATAATATTGCAAAATAAAAAGAACTTTATTATAATTATTTTATATATCATTCACACTGAGAGCATTCCAAACAACTGTTTACCATCCATTTGAAAATTTAATAATTTTCCTGAAAATACGGATCGAATAATATTAAAAACACTGAAACACATCCATCACGAACGCAAATATCTCAATATATTATACGCGCATACAGCAATACAATTATTTGTCTCGAAAAAACAAAAACAAGGCAATGTTTATTTTTTTTGCCACTTGAAAATTCAGAAAATAACATATTAATATTCTTCTGAATGGCTATATAAACGATTGATTTCAACTTTTCAATAAGCAATCAGTAATAATATATTTTATAATGTAAAATAAACATAACCTCAAATGTGGAAGAGAATAATACGCACTTATGAAAAAGGTAGCAAATTTATTTAATGCATTGACCTGTTGTTGTTTGACAAAGAATTGAAAAAACATATTGCTCTCAACATTCAAGTTGTTTTTCAGGATCTCTGCATACATACGGGAGTTGTTTTAAGAGGTGCAAACATCAGGGAGGATGAAGTACACAGCCTGGGCACTTTAAACATTGTGGAATATGTAAGATACGAACGGAAAAAGGAAATTGGAAAAACAAAAATGTTATTCTCTATTTTAAAAAACCATTTTGCAGAGCTTTGGGAGATGTATCGAATGGAAGCCCATTGAAGTGTCGTTCGTCTCAGAGCATCAAGATCAAGATCCAGAATGGTCTGTGGTAGAGTCTCACACACGTCGAACACGTACGTCCTCTTGTGAGGGGTCAGATTGTCTAGGAGGCCGCCCTAAAATAGTCCGCATAGCATTTACGGAATTGAAATCATTTCGCATTAATCACGGAGGTCAACAATTAATATTTATGCAAAGAGACGGAACGACATATGTAGCATTCTTTCAACTGTCAAATGCTGAAAGTTTCGTCAATTCCTTGAGAGGTTTTATAAAGTTTGTCAAGTCAAAATCAGACAAGAATCTTTACCTCGTATTAGACGAGTATAGCACAGTGCTGAATAAATCATTTGCAGAATTGGATCTTTTTCAAGAAAATACGTCTGATTACGTATGGAAATTTGTGAAAAATTTGCACAATCGTCCTTATGAAACAACACTAGAGGCATTCAGTAAATTAGCTGATATATGGATTTACAAAGAACCTGTCAAGCAACCAGTAGAAGAAGCTGTTGCCGATCTTCTCAACAGATCTTTAACGAGTGAACTGAGAAATGAGCATCCATTGAGTTCAACAGAATTTTCAGGCTCAAATGGAGAAGAGTATGAAGTTATAAGTGAATTGGATCAAAAATTCATACTTCCACCTAGGCCTACTTGTCCCCGTGGAGCCCCTCTCTCTCAAGAGCAATGGGATAGATGTAAGGATGCAGAGGGAAAAATTACCAATCCCGGAACAATCAAGGAGATTATTTTTCGGGGAGGTATAATTCCTTCCTTGAGATACGAAGTCTGGAAATTTCTTCTCAATTATTATCCATGGAATTCAACTTTAAGTGAAAGAAGTGAGCTTCGAAAAGTTAAAACTGATGAATATTACAGAATGAAGTTGCAGTGGAAATCCATGTCGGTGGATCAGGAGAATAAATTTTCTGATTACAGGGATAGAAAGAGTTTGATTGAAAAAGATGTTAATAGAACTGATAGAACTCATCCTTACTATTCTGGAGATAACAATCCCCATTTGGGACAGCTCTATGACATTCTCATGACTTATATAATGTATAATTTTGATCTTGGATATGTTCAAGGAATGAGTGATCTTCTCAGCCCTATTTTGTGCTTGATGGATAATGAAGTTGATGCATTCTGGAGTTTCGTTGGATTCATGGAGAAAGTGAGTTCTAATTTTGAAATGGATCAGGCTGGTATGAAGGCACAATTATGCCAGTTACATACTTTACTCAATGTAACTGAACCCCAGCTGGCACAGTATTTGAGTAAACATGAATCGGGAAATATGTTTTTCTGTTTCCGATGGCTCTTGGTATTGTTCAAGAGAGAATTCAATGCTATTGACATTATCAAATTGTGGGAGGTTCTGTGGACCGATTTACCGTGTAAAAATTTTCACTTGCTCCTGTGTGCTGCCATTCTTGATACTGAGAAGAGTGCATTGATGGAAAATCGTTATGGATTCACTGAAATATTGAAACATATAAACGATCTCTCACTTCACATCGAACTCCCATGGGCTTTATCCAAGGCTGAAGGAATTTATCATCAATTAATGGCAGTCGAAGCCACTTTACCAGATAACGTTCGTACTATTATTGGTCTCACACCAATCCATACTTCACCATTAAACACCTATTCAGAGGAGGAAGAGGAGCTACAAAATGATACATCTTCATCTCGAAATCATTCAAGACGACCAAGTAATGACAGTGGTAATATCAAACTTGGTAACAACGAGGTGTCATTTGAGCGTTCGTTGAATGTGTCTTACTTGTAGAATTTATTCTTTTTTCTTTTTTTTTTCTTTTTTAATCCAACCCACGCAACGTGGTTAGTATATGAAGTAGTAGTAATGTTCAACGTTGAATAACAAATTCCAATAAAAGTCTCTTTTTCTTTCCCACTCTTATTCATTATTCATTCGATACTTCTTTCTTGAAATAGCAAACAGTTTCAAGTTTCCAGAATTAATCTCAATGAAAGGATCGTGAAAGATCAAAACATTGACAATAGTATTTTATTCATACTATTTATAACTAATTATTTCATTGGCAAATGAAATTTTTTTCTCACTGGAAAAATTCCCTCTCCTTTTCTAGATTTATAAAGAGTGTCATTATATCTCTGTATATATTTCTAATAAAAAAAAACAATTAAATACAAAAAACTGCATATTTTATTAAATGACAAGTTTTTCGGAGTGAATTGAAAATAAGGATATCCCATGTACAAATTTTTAGTTATTGTGAGATGGGTAAAAGGCTAAAAAGGCTTTAAAACATGGATGGAGGGGGGGGGGGGTGTAGCGCCTCGCTACATCAACATTTACGCATTAGTACACGGACACGATACGTGCGTAGTTGAGACGACTGGACATCAATGACATCATCGCTCTGTCAGGTGCCAATAAAATATGTATACTTCTCTCTCGCACCTATTGTAAGGCGTATCCGAATTCTCGCCTTTTGCGAATATTATATTGAGTCCGGCACTGACCGCCGAATACTCGAGAGTCACCATCTTCTCCCATAACTTATTGTAAATATCCCTAAGACGCGTTTAGTAATAAACAACAATTTTACATTAATTGTTAGTAGTGGATTGATTCAAGCCTTTCCCATCGCACCACAATCCCTACAGGGGGGGGGGAATGAACAATTTTTTTTTTTCATTGCAGAAAATTTATTAAAATTTGCGTAATCAAACATACCCTTTACCACAAAAAAACTTTCCCAAAAAAAAAATCAAAATTAACATGGTGAAAAATAATCAAATGTACGTATATGCATGGTGTATACAGCAATAATAATCATAAGAATAAGAACTGATAATCTCTACATTTTCATCGAGTCGTAAAGACTTGAATAACTCATAGTCATAATCGGTAATAACAATAATAATGAAACGAATGTACGAGGGCAGCAAGCAAAAATAATATATAAAAACATATTTGACACTTTTGGTTCTTGTTAATTGTCTTCAGCAATGGTGTTAATTCTTGAATTAATTGCAAGTACTTGGGCAACAAATGACGTATCATCGATGACAATAGCCAAAGTTGACAAAAGACTCTTCATGTCTTCTGGTGTTAGGTCCATTTGTCGAGCACATTTGTTAATCATGTTGAGTTCCTCATCAGTAAGGGACGCCTGTGAATGAAAATAATAATAATAATAATAATAATAATAATATGAAATGAGATTAAATGAAATGATGTCAGTGAGAATTTCTACCTTGGATAAAGTGCGAAATTTGTTGAATGGCATTTTGACTTTCCTTTTTCCACTGTTAGTTTGATAGAAAATGGTAAACATTTTGGAAGTATCGAGTACCAATGAAAAATATAGACCGGCGGTAACGTGGCCTTTAGTATCTCTGGCTAATAAACTCCTGAAGTTGTATACCAAATTTCTTCTTTCAGTAACATCAATGGCAGTTAAATACGGTCTTGCAACATAAATTAGAGCAACTTGGGTACGCTCTAAGGCACCAGGGCGTGTTTCTCTCTCGTGCCACTCAACATAATCCGGATCTTGTGTACAGAGAGAATAATTGTACTCCTTTTTGCATTCAGGCTCATCTGATTGTGTGAACCAACCAGTGTGTGGATACAATTTATCAGCCATAACAGTTACAACACGTGCTACATGATAACCAGGATCGAGAAGTAATACACCGTGGCGTCCATTGATGTTAATCTTCAGACAAACAAGAACATGCTCTTTTTCACCAATATCTGCTGCTGGCGGACCACCTACGTATCCCTCAATATCACCAATTGTCTGTGGGGTTGAGAAAAAAAAACAAAAAAAACAAAAACAAAATTTAACATGCCATTCTACGTCTTTTCTTTGTTTGTCATAAATTTTTGATAAGTATCAGCAGATAATAATTTTGCATTACCTCCTCACATGATACCAAGTAAAGGCCACTCGTCATACCAGCAAATCTCTCCTCAAGCCCATTTAATCTGCTGATTAATTCGAATCCAAGACCAACACAAGTATGATGTTTACGCGTTATCAGAGGTTGATATTTATGATAAAAAAGCTCCACCATTGGTTCGGAATTTTCTTTAAAGTCCTTATAGAACCTAATTGATTAATAAAGATTAATTATAATAAGAGCTGAACATGTACATTGTAATAGCAACAAACCTTAGAAAATTGCCAATGGTATCATAGCGATGCTCGCGCAGTAGACGCTGTGTTTCCAGCTCCACGCTGCCTGCTAATTCCTCATACTGTTCAACAGTATCGACGGTCAACGTTTTAGACTCAGAATGGGCCCAAACCGGCAGGGGTAGCGGAACACCCCTGATCCAGGGCCCCCGGGCCTGCCCCTGTGGCTGGCACCATGATTCTGCCGACTCGAGTCAACTCGGCCATTCATTACCCCAACGACCCACCGTCGGCAAATATCCATTCTCATCCCTGCAGCTGCTTATCGGCTCCACAGGGCTCTCTCCGTGCTTTTCACTCTTCTCTCGCTCTGCATTTATATATTTTCAAATTCAAAAAAATCAAATATTAACTAATACTAATTTCATCTTTTATGTGTGCTTGTCATATATATTCTACGGCGCATGGGTCAATCAATATTGTCAAACGAATGTATAACTATAACTCCAGGTCCACGTGTCTCTTGCGGACATTTTGTTGATACATATGAAATATTTCGACACATTTTGTTTGTACTCTTAATAATCATTGGAAATTTACATCACTACATGATATCGAATGAGGAAATAGCCTACATGTAGTTACTTATCCATAAGGAAAAGAGAAAATAAAAATAAATCAACAACAAGTTTATCATTTCTGTTGGGTGGTTCGTTCTGATAATTGATTAAAATATTAACAAAAAATTAAAAAAAAATTAATAAAAGTGAAATAAGAATAATTTCTCATCATTGCGAAACAAAATGTAAGGTCATGTGGATGACCGCCGGCGGCGGGCGAGGTCATTGCTTCTTTTATGGGACAAAAAAGAAGCAATTTCTTTGTCTCTGACAGTAAAGTCAAATAGAGTAAACCCATAAAATGTCGCAAAATAGGTTGGACATTTAAAAAAGTCCAAATTTACGGATAAAAATTTTATGGTTATTAGTATTTCTTATAAGTATCGGAATATTTTAAATGTTTTATAAATAGTCATTTGGAAAAAGCGATATATTGAGAAGATGAAAGTAACATGTACAAATTTTTCGATTAATGTTTAACGATAAACTTACCCATACAATGAGCGGACCAATCAAAAGAAAAACTTTCTCCTCTTGAAATCTTGTTCACGTGTCCAAAGTCCGAGCAGAACTGACGCTTTTGTACATGCGCAATGCAATATATACCATCGCGCACAAGTCGCGCCCAAGTATGTGTATGCTTCTGATTCTGATGATCACTGGAACTGGAAGCATTCGCTTGGCTCCAAGGAGTAGCGGTGGGAGTTATAATTGCAAATAGGGATTTGATAAAGTGGGGGTAACTGCGTTAATACTAATAATATGTTGCCGCGCCCTCGTCTATTTTTTCGGCACAAAAATTTTTCACAAATTGCTTCTTATATATTTTTTCCATTTCCTGTTGTATAATAATGAACAATTTTTTTTTCCAAATATCTGTATCAATCGAGACAATAATACATTTCCTTGGAAAAATTTTCATCTCTTGACTCTGATATTTAGAAATATTTCAATGAATATTACCAAATATTTCTCTTCTAAAAAAGGTGTTGACCTTGTTATTATCACCAACACCACATCATATATTTATTAGTCACAATACATTTCAAACTCATTTATCAATCTTATTTCGATCATATCAGCTGATGGAATTGAGGATTGAGCAAAAGGAAAAGGGAGTTCAATGTCATTATGAATTATTTTTCATTTCTTTTTTTCTTCAAATTACATCACGCTATATGACGCACAAGGGAATTCTACGCCTACGCCTATTCTCTCAATATGAGTCACTTGAAACGTCATTTTGCCCCATTAGTCGTCGCAATGTTATTTCAAGACAAAGATACGATCAATTTATTTTCAAGTTGACAATTTAATTAACTATACAGATTGTGTAATATATGGGGATTTTAATTGTTGAGGTTTCAAATTTCTTGCTCAATATTCATATCAATGAATAAATAATTCCAATATGAAATTAGAGATAAACTGGAAATTTCAATTCCAGTAAATAACAATTCCTTTACAAAATATGTATGGTCAGAATATGGTTCATTTTGTCAGAGATGGATTTGGTGGGGGAAATCATAGATCATAGAGAATTGTCATCAGTCATCACACAACAACGTGTCACGTGGCGCTGCACGACAGCACGAGAGACAACTAAACTATCGCACTCTCGGCACTCTGCTGGCAGAAAAGAGAGAGTGTCTAAAGTCTAAACGTTGACATGACAAGATACTTCGGCAATTTCCTAATTTTTTTGTAAGTTATCATCTAGAATTACTACTATCGGCCAACCTTTATTCTCAACAATTGTAAAAATGATCACAAGCAATCGAACTAGCCTAGTTTTAGGCAATATGTTGAGCAGTGTTTTTATTGCGCATTACTCAATAACTTGAACCATGGGAGAGGTTAAAATGAAAAACTAAACAAAAAATGAAACTACGGATGGATATTCATCCAAGTGAATATTATTTTTCAGAGGATAAAGATACGAATACGGCAGCGATATGGGTGCATCAGCAAGTCGTTATGACGATTTATCGAGAAATGTTTGTTTGGAGAGTTTTTGTGCTAAAGAATCAATAGCCCCAGATGATTCCTTTTGGAATCGCTTTCTCTCCTTCAACATGCGACCCCCAGTGACTCGAAATGATCAAATTGAATTGGATTCCCGATTGGATGGAATGTGTCAAAAATTATTGACGAATAATTTAACATCGGGTAATTTTGCTGCTCTAATCCAAGTAACATTAATGAGGACAAGTGAACTATTAGCATCAGTCACCAACCAAAATATAATGTCAGCCTGGCAGACGTACAATGCATTATTTGCAGTAAGATGTATTCTTAAATATCTGGTTGAAACTGTTGGAGAAATGGAAATGATAAAACATGCTGAAAGTGTTGGAAACATCACGAGTGGAGAAACCAACAAAACTCCAATATTGAAACTTGAGTCGCTATTTGAGGCCCTCATTGAGATAATAATTGATGTTCCACTTTGTGAATTTACCTATGTTGTACATCTAGAAGCTGTCAATTGTCTTCTTGTACTACTATCAGTTCAATTATTTTCTCAAACTTCTGCTGAGTACAGTACTGTTTACAGAATTATTATGAACCACGAGGCTAGCATGCATGCTCCTGTTGTTGTTTGTACTCTACTGCATAATTTTGCACAACAGGAACATGCGCCACCTGGCCTCTTGTCAAGAGAAGCCGGAGGAAGTATTGTTTTCAATATTGCAGGTAAATATTAATAATAGCATGAAAAATCATACCGAATTATTAAATTTTTTCAATTATTTCAGCTGGATTATGGAATGTCATTACTATGGGCATGGGCAACACTTTGAAAAATATTCAAGTATCAAGCAATAATGGTGCTACTGAGGATGAAGATAAAAAACGAGACACACAAACACCATTAGCTAGTCAATCATTGTTACTCCTATTAGTCCTCACAAATCACTGCACTACAGCACATAATCCATACAGAGACGCTCTATTCTCCTTCAATAATAATATTCAAGATGATCAGACAATTATGCCAACAAAGGCTGTCATACCATTTAGATTTAATTTTGATAAATTGTACAATACAATATGCAAAGTATCCAATAGTGATGAAGTTACTCTACTATTGTACATGCTTTTGCATAGAAATCCTAGTATCAAAGGGCACATTATCAAGCGCACAGACATTCAGCTTTTGGTGAGTAGTGATTTCAATTTTCCATTGTTTGTAATTGGGAAAAAAAAAAAAAAACATTGTTTCAGGTGACTCCAATTTTACAAATTCTCTATCATGCGCCTGACAATACATCACATCACATTTATATGTCACTCATTATACTTTTAATACTCAGTGAGGATGACTCGTTCAATAAGAGAGTTCACGAAATTGTAAGTGAAAATGCAAACACAAAAGCAAAAATGAATAGGAAAAATTACTTGACGAGAAATGTTTTATAGATGTTAAAAGGTGTGACGTGGTATACAGAGAGATGCATCAGCGAAATTTCGCTTGGAGGCCTTCTGATTCTCGTGGTTATTCGAACGATCCAATACAATATGTTGAAAATGAGAGATAAATATCTGCACACAAATTGCTTGGCAGCATTAGCAAATATGTCAGCGCAATTTTCATCTCTTCATCCGTATGTCAGCCAAAGACTGTTGAGTTTATTTGAAACACTTGCGAGAAAACATGCAAGATTAGAAGTTAAAATACAAAGTCAAACTCATTCTGAGGCGGCTGTCATCAATGTTAATGGAGGTGTTAATGCTAATTCTGATCTAATTCAAGATCTTACTATACTTGAAGAAGTACTCAGAATGCTACTTGAAATTATCAACAGTTGTTTGACACATCGACTCCCACACAATCCCAATTTAGTTTACACTCTGTTGTATAAAAAAGATATATTTCAATCATTTAGGACACATTCTGCCTTTCAGGATATCATTCAAAATATTTATTCAGTGAGTAAATTTAATGACAAACATAAAAATAATAAACATTGTATATATTGATCGATTATAAATTTTTCAGGTTATCAATTTTTTTTCCTATAAATTGGAACAGACTGATCAATCCCAAATCGGCGTAAGTCAAGTATTAGCTGCGATAAAACAGGGTACAATGCAGTGGCCCAAGGATCGATTGAGAGTAATTATAATTCATTTAACTTCAACTTGACAATAGTTTATTAACCTCTCCATTAAAATTTGTCTTTTCTATTTCACCATCATAGAAATTTCCAGAATTAAAGTTCAGATATGTGGAGGAAGAACAGCCAGAAGAATTTTTTATACCATACGTTTGGAGTGTAGTATGCCAGGGAGCTTTATTGTACTGGAGTGCAAAGAATATCAAATTGTTTTCATTGAATGGTGGAGAACAAACGACAATTGTCGTTTGCTGATGTTGACATGAGCATCCGTTCATTCCGCCAAATCAACTCAAAACAATGATTAACAGAGGAAGAGAAATTATTAATTCATTGCTTTCAATCATGATAATTTCTCCGTCAAATTTGCTTATCGTTTGGTTATTTTAAAAGATCAACAATTTAAATTATTCATTGTTTTGTCAATTATAAGTATGTAAATAAAAAGTTTTTTTGTCGTCAATTCGAAAATTCATGTGCTTTCCTATATTTAGTTGATGTCAATATCACATTAATATTCTGATTCAATAAATCTTCAATTATTTATCATAATAAAATAAAAGTCTACTTCTCTTTTTTTACCAATTTCTCGAATCACTGGCCGATCTGAGGAGACAAATGGTAATAAAAAATCATTTGTTTTGTTTTTTTTTCGAATGTACATCTTTATTAAACAAATACAGTTGATGTCTTAGTGATATTTATATGTGTGTTTAGGTAATACTCTATAATTGAAATCTGTGCAGCTTCTATATGCGCGTGTATGTTCTACAACCGCTAACGATAATTATCGCACATTATCAATGTTATTATCTGACCAATTCGAGTTTTCATATTTGTTCCTTTCTTGTTCAATTGAATAATAAACTTGAGTAATTTGACACGTTGTGTGCGTCATAAACTGATAGATTGACGTTGAAATTTCCAACTCTTTTCTCTATTTTCTCTTTTAACATCGACCTTTACCATTTTACTTACATCTTTTATTATTGTTCATTCTTGATTCTAAGCAAGTCAAAGCGCTTACCATCAGTATATTATTATCATGGAAACACGGTTAGCATTTGATAATTTAATTTTATTCTTTTTTTTTTTTTCATTAGTTATTTACCATTATCATTAATTCCTTAACTGTGCTATTATAATAATATTACAGTTAGAATACGATTATTCTTATATTTTTCATATTCTGTTTTTTTTTCCATTAGGAGGGAATATTCAAATTAGCTCGCAGTAATGTTTCGATACTAGGCTAGCTCTTTTTCTCCTTCTCACCACTAGTGTTTCTTTCTTCTTCTGATTAACGCCCCATTATTCAAATTCCATGTTTTATTCGAGATACAATAATATCAAACGACAGAGCTTATTACCGATGGAGATTCAAATCATCCTAGTAAATTTCGGCAATAGAAATGAGAGGTTTAAAATTATAATCATTCTTAAAGAGTCCAAGTTTTTGTTGTTTTATTTCAAATCAATGTGTTTTTCTCAATTAATGGGAGAAGTGTCTACACTTAATTTTTCCTTTATTCATTTGATATTTTGTATCCAGAAGTATTGTAAGTTGCGGTGTTCTCAAGCATCCATAAATCTGTGAGTTGTTCATTTCTTCATTGATGAGATGGATATTGTGATATTATAATTGTCGTTTTTCAGATGTTATTTTCAACTCTCTCAAATATCACTTTATTACGTATAATTTATAGCGTGTTTACATACACGTTACTGGGAGTGGATTGCTGACAATCTTCGACCAATGTCTTTTTCACAGTAGAATGTGAAAAAAACTACGAGCACATATAGTGTCTGGTTATTCAATATAGATTCCACATATATATGATAAATATGTGAATGTGCATATTTTGACGCCTAATAAATACAATTATAGGATGATTAACCCCCGATCAATCGCTCAATGAGCACGGAGCCGCCCGTTTTCGTTTTTTTTTTATATTTCAGCGTACTTCTCGACACTTAAAAATTCTGAAGAAATTAATGTTCTTAGTTCAATGCTTTTATCAAGTGTTGGCGTTGACCGTTTTTTTTCTCGGCAACTTTGTTTCTGTTCAATGGACAGAAAAGACTGGCAGCCAAGCGCGAGTGATCGAGAGTTAATTTATATCGACGTTTCCGCAAAACAAACTATTTATAATATATTCATCCATTTTTTTTTTCAATTAATTTAGTAATTTTTTTCGTATATCATTAAACTAATACACCATATAGTCTAATGAATTGTTTTTCCATTTTTTCTTTAAATCTTATTTGTTCAATCTACAATTGTCATTTGTGACTTCATTTTAAGTACATTTTCCGTCCCGGTGTATTCATCTACTTATTTTCGCCATGGATACAACAAATTTACCTATTCTCTTATGACACTCAAACAAAAACACTATTGAAATTAAATGCATGAACAAGTTTATTGATTTGCACAGTTATAACTAAGTATCAATCGATAAATATATTTTCCGGAGTAAAATTTTTACCAATAATAAACATAATTGAACATTGAAAATTATAGATTTCTATGGAAATGTATAATTTGGATTAGAACCTATTTGAGAAATATCTGAGTTATCTTCCCATATTTATGAATATCGAAATCCAATTGCAATAATTCATTTAGTAATTTGATGTACAAATTAAGTGTTCTTCCTTTTTGAATAATTTCATTCAAGAAATAGTCTTTATTCATATAAACTATCATTTTTTTTTGTAGTGTAAAATTTATAAAAGCAGATCTTGTATTATTGGAAAAAATAGTTCAATTACTGATGCAGTCGAAATTTCACATGAGATACAGGTTTCTGCAACTAAGTAATTTCTTCATTATAATAATTTCATGTGTGTTTAGTTATTAATTAGCATACTTGCATAGTATTATTTGTGGGAAGGGAGAAAATAATAAAAGGGGAAATTTTGTAAAAAGATTATACGAAAATTAATGCAACAGTGGTACATGCAGCTGTCACAGCATCGGGCTGATAGCGTAGGACTGCATTTGTTCTCATTCATTTTTTTTTTACATTTTATTATTATTTTTTTCCATTCAATGTTCATTTGTTGAAAAACTGGACACTTGTCCTATAAAAATGATATGATATGCATATTGAAAAAATAAATTGTCTCATAGATTCTATGAAGTATTGATATCCATACACAAAAATTATTAGGATTATCCATTTGATGCTCAATTTTTCATTATAATTACATACATATGTAATCCATTGATTAGAGCAAATGAAGAAAGAATTTTCATTACTTTGCATAGTCCTATGCAATATCTGATGACTCATCACTGGGATATCTAAATGATTCGCATTAGTTTTTGTAAAAAATTGATATCACACTTGAATTCATTTTTTATAATCACCTATATTCCCTTGCACTGGAATTAGAGAGCAATAAATTTCATAAAAGGCAGATGATATCAAACCTTAGAAATGGAAAATAAAAAAAATACCAGTCAAAGATAGTGAAAATTAAACGAGAGGATGGATTTTCATGTATGTAGTTATAAATATTCTGCATATCTTGAATTGTTGGAATTCATACGCACGTGTATATGTAAACAGTATCATCATAATGTAAAAACCAGAAGGAATTTACTTGTAAAAAAATCGAAATAATAGCAATAAATTACTTATAATTTACTATGGCATGTCAGATCGCGTCAAATCATTATCTAAAGGTATTATTTTGAAATGAAATAATTGGGATACAAATTCAATGAATATCAATGTATATGGATATGCTATAATATATCTATTTAACGGCCAAAGATTATAAGTCAGATGGGTTATCATTAATTTTCGTTTCATTTTGTTTTTCTCTGCGTACAAAAAAAAAATCTATAAAAATTAAAAGCAATTAGTTTGGCAATTGAAGGAAATGTGAGGAATTTTTTCAGCTCCTTATTTTATTCATTTGCAAAACACGAGACATGGTATTAGTTATATCTTTACTCCATTATTAGTAGTTTTCTATCACACGATTGTCACTCTCACAAAAACCCATCAAACTTATATTAGCAAGCCTTTGTAATAATAATAATAATAATAATAATAATAATATGAATCGGATAAAATTATTGATAAGCATTAAATACTATCGAGTAACTTGGATATGGCAGAGTAACAATGATTCATTACCTGAAAATCAAGTCCTCTATTTCCGGCCACATGTGAAGAATTGAAATATATTTAGACTTATATTTGTTTTCAATAAGTATGAATGATGGCGAATTGTTGTTCCTGTCATTATTTTTGTGTTAATCAATTGCATACACCTTTTCCCGTCGAGAATCTACCAATCGCCGATGCGACGAAATAGTGTGGGTAGAAAGTGTAAACCTATATCGATTAAATAAGCGTGCACGCACTTTTATAAATCTTGTTCTGTTCAAACGGTGCTTAAGCAGAGTACTAACGATTATAATAATTCATTTCATTTCATATCCAATATGTACTTACTACTTGATAATTCCATCTATGAGGGACGGATATAATACGACGCTTTTTTTTAGAATCACCCGTGAAAAAAAAAAACAAAAAAAAAGCAATAATTACATTGAAATGATATCACTATGTGAAAATCATTTATCGAGAATGATTGCGACAAAAGCGTCGATTATCATAGAAGCATAACAAATGGAAAATGAGAATATGAAAATGAAAATAATAACGAAACGGAGAAAGATAAGGAATATTAACAAAGTGGGGAATTTTCTTTATTATGGCAATGATGATATTGTCCATTGACACATCATATATTATTATTATTATTATTATTATTAAAAAGTTGAGTACTCCCCTTAATACCGAATCATTGAAAAATGATGTCAATAATGAAATGTCATAAATTGACATATTATAATGATTAAACTCCATGATCGTGATCCCATTCGAGATCATGAGGGGCATTGTGATGACGTCGATGTCTACCATTGGTCAAATCACAATCATTCTCGCAATCAGTAGTGTCCAGATCATCATCTCTGAATGAATCATCCTCCGAGTCAGAAGTTGCAGAATCTTCAGCATCCTCATCATCCTCATCATCATCTCTTTGATGAGAATTTTGTGTACTGTTGTCTGATAAACGATCCATTGGATTGACAGTAATGGCTAAGCCAGAATCATCCCAGGCCATTTCAGTTTCAGCGGCAAGTTCATCACCAGCTGTACGTCTCTGTTTAGCAGCACCTCGGACTCTGGCAGCTCCAACGACTGCCATAAGAAGAAGAAAACCAATACAGGCAGCAGCAACAATAGTTATTGCATGACTACCCCCAGAGCCGGTGAGTGTTCTACTACTTCCTCCTTCATGAAGATTTATAGTTGAATATTCATCAGAAATATCAGCATGATGTCTAGATAATTGTGAATGGCCAGGTAATGGCTCTAATATATTAGCGATTGGTGGAGTTTCAGTTGATTGGTGAGGTGGTGAAGTAGGTTTCTCCTTAGGATGAATGACGGCAAGTGTTTGAACATACTCATTACTTGCAAATCTACCGCTAAGCTCTGAACAAGTGAGTTTAAAGACACGATCAAGATAGTAAGCGGGTTTTCTATTGGTATATGTTATCAAACGAATGAGCTGCTGATATTTGTAAGGTGTATCAGCGCCTGATAATACAACCCCATCGTGGTCAATTCTCGTTGATATTGATCGAAATTGGTGGAGTGTATCAGTTGGTAGACCAAGAGTTTCATGGTCTGGATTTAAGCTTGGATAAACACTAACTGCACAAGCGTCAAGCCTTGCTGCTGTACCTGCTGTGACACGTGCATCTGGAAATACTCTAACACCTAGACGGAAATCGGCATATTCTCGTGCAACATATGACGTACCATTTACTGTTATACCTGGACGTGGAGGTGGTAAAACAGTAACATACGACTGTACTGAAGGTATTGTTAAAGGATGTTTCTCGCTACCTTCACACACTATTGTTGTATTTAAACGGAAATTACGTCGACCGGGAGTGGGAAAACGACGACTATTTGAATAACCAATGCGGCGTAAAAATGTCTCGACATTTGTATGATTGTCACCATCGATTCTTACTTCTGTTAAATCTGAGTTTGTTAATAACTGAGTGCCTGGCTGGAGAAGATCCATTGAGGGTACACGAATACCCTCTTGGCATCTACGCAAACATGTCAATACCTTGGCTTTTTCATTTTCCCCCACTAGTACTGATAGACCAGCTAGATAACCACGGAAATGATGTTTCGTTTTGTTATCTGAACCTTGCCAGCATGCACCTACTACAAGAGTTGTATTGACACCCTTTGCTGGATGTAGGGGCCAATCATCTATGACCTCGGGATTTTTATTTCCGCTATTCCATTCTTCACCATCAATAAATAGGCTTACCCGTGGAAAGTCTACTTGTATAGCAAAATTATGCCAACGATCATCGCAAACTTGAGGGAGCTTCCACCGCCATTCTGCTGGACGGAATATATTGGGATCACCTTCGGAAAAATCTCGTCGCAGGAGTAGTATCAATCGGCAGTTGCGAATAAAGAGAGCATAATGATGACGGTTCATTTCTATTATAATTTATGAAAAAAAAAAAAAACATTGGATTAGTCTCAAATTGACAAGTTGATAGTTTGAATTAACTTACTGTGATCATCGGCAGCACAAAGAATGTGCTCTTTGACGTGTGGATCCTGTCTAGGATGTGGTAGATGTTTTATCCAAACACCAATAGTAAATTTCTGAGCCAAACTGTGATTGAGAATATCCCTTGGAATAATAGCGGCTGAAGTGCTTCCATCGAATTCAAATATTTCATCAGCTTCCCTCCCATCGTCTCGGGATAATGAAGATGTCCAAGTGGTTGTAGGTCCAGGAGTTGGAAGAAGATCAATACTCTCTCTAGAGGCACCACACAATTTTCTCTGGCTATTAACCCCATAGGTATCTCTATCACAACCCTTGCCAATGTGATCAGTTGCTAGAGTCAATGTAGCCCGTAAATTTCTCAAAATACAGGGTGCATCACAGAGTTCCAGTCTCGCTGAAGGAATCAAGGCTTGGGAGCCAACACCAGCTGCGTAATCTACACGCTCAGGAATTCCTCGCCATCCCGGTGAACAGACTCTATTTACTTTGACTGTTACCATTGCCGGTGCTGATTGCTTCATTCCACAATCATAAGCAACAACACTCAGAATATAATTGTGAGATCTTTCATAATCCAGTGGCTCTGTATTTCGTATTGCTCCCTCATTGTCAATGACGAATGGTTGATCAGCTGTCAGAATTTCATACTTACATACATCGCCAAATTTTGGTGTACAATCACGGTCTGATGCCTCCACCCGAACAACTTCCTCGTAAAGCCGACCCTCATCCACTGTACTAACATAGGCCGGCTGTAGAAACTGAGGGGCATACTCATTCACATCTATCACTGTTATGTGTACAGTGGCACTAAAAACAATTTCATATATAAATATATATATATATACACGTATATTTTTTATATATATCATCATAACACAATTTCAAACATACTTTTCCGATTGTGCTCCATTGCAAGCGATAGCAGCTATATCGAATTTATAATTCCGCCGTTTTTCACAATTGAGAACTCTCAATGCTCTCAATTTTGCAATGCCCCTCTCCTTGACGATAATTTCAAAGGGCGCATCACCGTGATGTTTATTCGCTATGCGGAACGAGCAAATTTTCGCACCCAATGCACGTATCTGCGGGGTCACCTCCACCAGAGTCTCATTTTCCTTCACTAAACCGTGATAACCAGACTCGAGACTGTCCAAATCCAATCTTGGAACTGAAATACCCATTTTAATGAAAAAAAAATGCTTATGATGGTGACTGCTGTAAAGACGTACAACGTAATCCCAAGTTTCTTTCATAAAAAAAAAAACAGCATTGGTTTGGGTGAACACGATTTTGCAATATTAAAAAAAGGAAAAATTTTATCATCACATTAAACATGAACATATGTATAGTATACTGGGAAGTGGAGTGTAGTAGAGTGAATGTATGGAGAGTACTGAAGAGTATAGTATGATGAATTCGCCATCACAGGTGCTCTTATTGAAACACACAGGAGGTAATAGGACTCTCTACAAATGAAAATGAAAATAAAAATGATGGCAAATTTTTCAACTGATTGAATAGTTAGTGGGATGATTATTCATTTGAAAGAGAAATACAGGGCAATAATTTGAGGAGAGCATAAATCGGGCTTGAATTTTTTTCAACGCAAGAATAATGTAGGATACAGGGAATGAGAAAAGAAAAATCACCTCCATGATCGTTGAAGGAGGTCTGTGTCGGTTTAAAGCTCGCATACGAATATCCAATCAGGAATATTAACACAACACTTGTCAGCAAATTCATTGTGACTTTTTGTTCGTCACCAATAGTACGCTTAATTTATTGTCGTGCACTTATTATTCTCTTGTTTCTGCAACTCCGTTTCAGAAGATGTTAAAAACGCATTGCAACTTGACTACTGTTTCGCCTGCGACACACAGGCACACACACCATACTACACACAATCTCGAAGTCAATATTTGAGTGGAATATCGATTTGCTTGGAGATATATAGTACAACTGAGAAGATTTCTCCTCCCCCGCCCCCACAGTGTTACCACCTCTTTAGCCAATCCCCACTCACATCTCTCCCTTCTTGTGTTCCCCCCCCCCATTGCTGACTAACAACACTATCTAACTACCAACTCACAAAGAGTAAAGTTCCTGTAGGATCGCAATAGTGGCGGTGAGGGGCGGTTTATTTTTATTATCCCTAGATCCCTATCATTCATCAATACATACATAATAAAATTAACACTCTGAAAATCTAACCGACTATAAGGTAAAATTAATTATACATGTCATTATTCTAATACTTTATCAATGCATAATTTATGATGATTCATTCTTTCATGTGAAAAAAAACATTTATTATCATTGGATAAATTATTTTACCGACAGAGTAGCGTATTACAATGTTGATGTTTGTCCCACGCTGTTACAACAGGACACTCTATTTTGCTCCATTTGCTGGAATGAATTCATAGTTGCAATTAGAAACAAAATTGGACTTTTATATTAAATTAATACATTGAACACAGTATAAATCAGGTATGTAAATTAATAATATATAAATTGATAGCTGTGAAAAGTGTCAAGTAGTGAATTTGTCGTCTTCTCTATGTGGTTATGTTTGCGCGCGTACCGGGTTCCCGAACAATAATTACACATTATTAATGAAAATGTATTTTCCATAAATTGAAGCTAAGACGATCTTTTGATAATGGATGCCGACCTCTATGACGAGTTTGGCAATTATATTGGCCCCGATTTAGCCTCTGAATCTGAAGATGAAAATGAATATGATAATGTTGGAGATGATACTGATGAGCGAGAACGATCAGATGAAGAGATGGAGGAGGATAAAGATGAACAGAGGGATAATTTGGAGCAACAATCAATGTCGGTAGTTTTGCATGAGGATAAAAGATATTATCCAAGTGCCCTAGAAGTTTATGGGCCAGATGTGAGTATAAAGTTGATGATGATTTCCATTGGTATTTATGAGTATAACAATAATAATAATAATAATAATAATAATAATAACAATTGTTATATCAAGGTGGAAACTCTGGTTCAAGAAGAAGATGCCCAGCCATTGGACAAACCACTGATTGCCCCAACAAAAAGATGCAAGTTTCAAATAAAAGAACAGGAATTACCAGAGACAACTTACAATATTGAATTTCTTGCTGATATGATGGATACACCCCATTTAATTCGTAATGTTGTACTTTTGGGTCATCTTCATCATGGAAAAACAACGCTTGTTGATTGTCTGGTAAGACAAACACATCCCAACATTCACAGTGTAACAGATGAAAAACCCCTGAGATATACAGACACTCTATTTACTGAGCAACAGCGTGGTGTCTCTACAAAAGCCACTCCAGTGACTTTGCTCTTGCAAGATGTCAAATCAAAATCCTACCTAATGAACATCTTTGATACTCCAGGGCATGTGAATTTTTCCGACGAAGCAACAGCTGCAATAAGAATGTCAGATGGGGCTATTCTAGTTGTTGATGCAGCTGAGGGAGTTTTATTGAATACAGAGCGACTCTTGAAACATGCAATCCAGGAAAAATTAGCTCTAACTGTTTGCATAAACAAAATTGATCGACTCATATTGGAATTGAAACTACCTCCTCTGGATGCTTATTACAAATTGCGTCACATAATTGAAGAAATTAATGGTCTAATTGCCCTTTACTCAGACAGTGATAATCCAACTTTTGTTTCACCAGCAATGGGCAACGTTTGTTTCGCCTCATCAGAGTACAATGTCTGCTTCACATTGAAATCCTTTGTAGCCCTTTATGCTCGACAATATTCCAATATTAATATCAATGAATTCTCAAAGAGACTCTGGGGTGATTTGTACTTCAATTCAAAGACTAAAAAATTTATGAAAAAACCTCCACATAATACTGCACAAAGATCTTTTATTGAATTTATCCTGGAGCCTCTCTACAAGATTTTTGCTCAAGTTGTTGGTGATGTAGATACAACATTACCCTCGGTACTGGATGAATTGGGTATTAGATTGACATCGGAGGAAATGAAAATGAACATCAGACCCCTGTTGAGACTAGTCTGCACAAGATTTTTTGGTGATTTGTCCGGGATCGTAGATATGTGTGTGCATCATGTACCAAGTCCTCAGGAGCACGCATCATCCAAGGTACAGCACGTTTATACAGGTCCTATGGAGTCAGATTTAGCTAAGGATATGATAAATTGTAATCCCGATGGAAGACTCATGATACACAGTACTAAAATGTATCCCACTGAGGATTGCACATTATTTGTTGTTCTTGGAAGAATAATGTCGGGAACTTTGGAGGCAGGCCAAAAAGTTCGAGTTCTTGGTGAAGCATATTCCAGAGCTGATGAAGAAGATTCGAGAGTTTTAAGTGTTGGTAGACTTTGGATCAGTGAAGCCAGATATTCCATTGAATTATCTAGAGTACCTGCTGGCAATTGGGTTTTGATTGAGGGCATTGATAGGCCCATTGTCAAAACCAGCACTATTACAGATATCAATAATTCCCAAGATTTGCACATATTCAGACCATTGAAATTCAATACCCAGAGTGTTATAAAAATTGCTGTTGAGCCAGTCAATCCGTCAGAGTTGCCCAAAATGTTGGATGGACTCAGAAAAGTCAATAAGAGTTATCCTCTATTGGGCACTAGGGTTGAGGAGAGTGGTGAACATGTTGTTTTGGGGACTGGAGAGCTTTATTTGGACTGTGCTATGCACGATTTGAGAAAAATGTATTCAGAAATTGATATCAAAGTGGCAGATCCTGTCGTAGCTTTTGCAGAAACTGTTGTCGAAACGAGCTCTCTCAAGTGTTTTGCTGAAACGCCCAACAAGAGAAATAAGTTGACCATGATTGCCGAGCCTTTGGAAAGAGGTTTGGCAGAGGACATTGAAGCTGAAAATGTGAAGATCACATGGAACAAGTGAGTCTGCACAAAATAAATAATTATTTGTCAATATCATTTGTCATACAACAATTCTTTTTTTTTTTTTTTTTTAGAAAACGCTTGGGTGAATTTTTTCAAACAAAGTACGATTGGGATCTTCTGGCAGCGAGAAGTATCTGGGCATTTGGACCTGACTCTACTGGGCCAAATATTCTTGTTGATGATACCCTACCCTCGGAAGTTGATAAAGCATTGTTAAGTAGTGCTAAAGATGCCATTGTGCAGGGTTTCCAATGGGGGACGAGAGAGGGTCCTTTATGCGAAGAACCAATTCGCAATGTCAAATTCAAAATTTTGGATGCTGTTATTGCACCTGAGCCTCTACACAGGGGTGGTAAGATTTCTTCCCACTTTTTTTTTGTTTTTATATCAATTATTAGTTGATAACAAGTAAACATTGATGGTATTTTTCAGGAGGACAAATCATTCCAACTGCCCGACGTGTTGCCTATTCGGCATTTTTAATGGCAACTCCACGTTTGATGGAACCCTATTTATTTGTAGAAGTCCAAGCTCCTGCTGACTGTGTTTCCGCTGTTTACACAGTTCTTGCCAAACGTCGTGGTCATGTCACACAAGATGCACCGGTACCTGGAAGCCCTCTCTACACAATTAAGGCATTTATACCAGCCATTGACAGTTTTGGCTTTGAAACAGATCTTCGGACGCATACACAAGGACAAGCCTTTTGTTTGTCAGTATTTCACCATTGGCAAATTGTTCCCGGTGATCCGCTGGATAAAAGTATAACAATTAGACCATTGGAACCTCAGCCCGCTACACACTTGGCACGAGAATTTATGCTCAAAACGAGAAGGAGGAAAGGACTCTCTGAGGATGTTTCTATCAACAAGTTCTTCGATGATCCCATGTTGCTTGAATTGGCTCGTCAAGATGTCCTTTTAAATTACCCACTTTGAATGATGCATTATTTCTTTCCTTCCTTTGTGTTTTCTTTTTGTTTTTTTTTTTCAAGTGAAATCAATTCTATATTTTTTCTCAAAAATATTTTCAAATTGTGAATAAATAATGCCTTTTCAATATCAGAACAATATTAGAAATGAGAAAATTTCAAAATGGGCCTTTTTATTTTTCACTTTGATATTAGCAGCAACAATCATGTGGCTTATTAGAGGAAAGATTGAGGCTTTACTCAGAATTACGGTTGCACGTAATCACCAGCTGATTATATGGATTCGACAATGATTTCTGATGATGCCCCCACAAGGCTAAGAAACACAAAGAGTAAATGAGTAAAAATTGTTGAAATAATACAGTGTCGCAGTCCTAGCGGCCCCGAATACGTCGAGCCGAGTGGGTTCGTTAGCAAGGCCTTGGCACCGGCGGCAACCCTGTTATTATATGGCTAGGCCCATCTTTTCTTTTATTTTTTTTTATTTTCTTTCTTTCTTTTTTTCTCCATTACCCCTCTCTTGTATCTAATATCCAATTCTCAAATGCAGCTATAAACGATTAATTCTCATGCTCCATGGCCATGAATATTTTCGTGTTTTTTCACCTTTATTTAGCGGCGGGGGTATTGTTGAATCACAATTCATTTTTGCCAATTTCAATTAATAGCTTCATTAGAGGCTTTCAATTTATTCCCTTTCACTAGACATTTGAGGCAAAAGTGTAATCCTATTGAAATCTTTTCTGCGAAGGAATGAAAATAAGTGACGAGGTAGATGGAAAGGAAAACCGCGAGAAACTAATTGACAAGATTGTCTCAGTCTTCGGTTGCATTTCTACGAAAAAGAGTAATTTTTATTTACTGAGAGGCAGAGGCCGGAGGTTTGCCCCATTGCTATAGGTGGTATTCATCCCAAGCTTGCAATCATTTCTCTTAATGATGAAAGACAATGGGGGAGAAAACGGCAGGAAAAGAGGTCTTGTATATTAAGCTCGGTTGAAGAATTTTGTCATATTGTCTTGTATATTTTACAAAAAGAAATTTGACAATTGAAATAATGTTTAAGTGGGATAAGGAAAACGGCAGGGGGAAAAAAATGTTTACTTAAAAAATGAGGACTGCCGCCATGTGAAATAGTAATAAACATCGGTTAGAACTCTGATGAATTCCTCGAGAAATTTTCCTCAACCTCTCTTTACTTCCTTTGTGACCGCTAAAAGCCGCATTCAGTCCTAGGCAAACAATAAGATCGATGATGCACCGTAGACGAACGATGTATTGTCCATTTGAGGAGTAGGCGGTGACCCCCTCGTAATATCCCTATTTCATTTATGTATACCGGCGGAATGGTAGACAGGTATGTATGGAGATATTTATAAGTACATATATATATATATATTTTTTTAGGAATAGCGCATTTTTATGCCATAAATTTTGACTACATTTCCAGAGTGTAATGCGCTCCATCAATTAATCTTTTTTTTCTTTTTCTTGATTCCATTCTTACAAAAGTGTCATTTACATATTACACGATTAACAAAAAATACTCCACACACAGTTTTATAAATTTCATTTTTTTTTTTCTTTAAAAAATGTATATATATATTTATATAAATGAAAAAGAATTTGGAAGAGAGGAAAAAATATCGTGTCTGTTGAGTCTCTAGGGGAAATTGTTGGGTGATTTGAACGCTAGTAGAGGAGGCAAGCTAATACATTTTAGGTACAGTTGAGGCTCGATGGAGCGATGGAGGACGAAGGATTCAAGGGGAATGGTAACTTGTATACCTGTATATGTATGTATATATGCGGGGGCCCGTTTCTCTCTACTACAAAGATGGCTGACGAACCTGGTCCAGGGGAGAGAAGCGAAGAGAAGAGAAGAGAGAAGAGAGAGTGTTCCTCCTTCTCTCTGCTCTCTGGCCCCCTCTGTAAAAGTAGTAGGGTGGGTAAAGCGCAGGTGCCGCCATGTCAGTGCATGCCTAACCTCGAAGCCGCGCGGAACGTTAGACACAATCGCACACAATATTGAAAATATGTAAAAAAAATTGCGTAAAAATTGAAAGCCAACAGCGCTCAGTAACAGTAGAGAAAAAAGAGTATATCGATTAAACTCAATGCATGGATATGAGAATAATTTTACAACCTGCAACAGTCATTGAACTTTTGTCTACAGTGCGTTGAAAATAAAAGCCTCTGAGGAATGTTGAGGGCAGGTTGTCTGTGTTGTGCTACAAAATAAAAGAGATTGTGTTCCAGAATGGGATATTGTCATTGAGAAAAACAAAGAAAAGAGTGAAATAGAAAGTAAATAATCCATTGGCTTTTTTCTAACGTAAAAAATTGTGTTGAGTGTTTTGTTATTTGTCGCAGTAAAAATAATTATTTCAATTAGGTGAAAAAGTCTGTGTTGTGTGTATATTGTGAAATTTCGTGATGTGATAGTGAATTGGTGAATTTGGGGTGGGGTGGGGTGGGGTGGGGGAGGGTAGAGGGAGGAGAAAACAGCAAGGTTTCCCAGTAGAACGTTAAGACTTGACCAGGAATGGAAGGAAGATAATACACGGAGAATATGGAGGCAGGGACATCGGTAGCAGGACTACGCACTCCATTCCTGCTCCTGATTCTCTTCTCACTGTTATCATTGTCAAAAATCCAATGTGAACTAGTACAACATCTGGAGATATCAGAATCCGCTCCAGCAGGGAGTCGAGTGGGTTTCATAGATGCCGAAAGTCCTCCATTCTTAATAGTACCAGTTCCAGGCTCTCCAGTAAAAACAGATCTAATTGTCGATCCGTCAACTGGGGAAATTCGTACAAAAGTTGGCTTAGATCGAGAAAGTCGCCCCTCGTATAGTCTTGTTGCACTGCCTCAGAATGTTCGTGTGGTAATTAAAGTTGTTGATGAGAATGACAATGTACCGACATTTCCAGTTGATTATATTGATGTAGAATTTCCGGAAAATTCACCACGTGATTCAAAACGTGCCCTTCCCCCGGCAAAAGATCCAGATCTTGGTCAATATTCAACACAAAAATATGAAATTATAAGCGGTAATAATGGAGAGGTTTTTAGACTCTCACAGCATCGAGGCAGAGATGGAGTGTTATATTTGGATCTTCAAAATTCCGGTTCACTCGATCGAGAAGCTAAATCGTTTTATCAACTTGTTATTGAAGCACTCGATGGAGGAATTCCACCGTTGCATTCTCGTCTGCGAGTCAATGTAACAGTCCAAGATGTAAATGATAACCCACCAATTTTCAATCAAACAAGATATACAGCAAGTATTCCTGAAAACTCAACAGTTGGAACACCTGTTATTGTTGTTAATGCAACAGACTCAGATGCTGATGTCAATGGCAAGATCGAATACTCAATTAATCGGCGACAAAGTGATAGAGAAGAGATGTTCAAAATTGATGCACAAAGTGGAATGGTTTATGTTAATAAGCCTTTAGATTTTGAGGCAAAAGAAAGGCATGAATTAGTTATTGTTGCTAGAGATTTGGGGGCACAACCTCTCGAAGCAAGTGCATTTTTATCGATTTATGTGACAGATGTTAATGACAATCAGCCAACAATTACTGTCATTTTCTTATCGGACGATGCAACACCTAAAATAAGTGAAAGTGCTCAACCTGGTGAATTTGTTGCCAGAATATCAGTGAGTGATCCTGATTCTAGAACTGAGTATTCCAATGCCACTGTTACATTATCTGGCGGCAGTGGACACTTTGGATTAGCTACTAGAGACAATATTATTTATCTTGTTGTTATTGAGAGGCCATTGGATAGAGAGGAGAAATCCATTTATGATTTATCAGTTGAAGCAACTGATACTGGAACACCACCGTTACGAGCAATCAGAACATTTAGATTGCTTGTCACTGATGTTAATGATAATGCTCCTACATTTATTGAAGAAAAGTATGAAGCCCATCTACTTGAAGCCTCTGAACCTGGAACACCTGTTTTACGGGTTAAAGCCAGTGATGCCGATGAGGGCATGAATTCAGCAATTAAATATTCTCTCAAGAACACAAGTTGGTTTAAGATTGATGAGGATAGTGGTTTGATAAGTACTGTTACACATGTTGATTGCGAGACTGATCCAACGCCCATATTAATTGCAATAGCCACCGACTCGGGAAGACCATCTTTAAGTGCTAGTACCATTGTCAGAATTACTGTTCACGATCTCAATGACAATGAACCTATCTTCGAGAGGCCACTTTACAATGCTACAGTTGCTGAAAATCTATCTATTGGGAGCTGTTTTGCCAAGGTAATGAATCAATTCTATTAATTTGAATTTTATAACAATTTTTCAATACACAAACATATTCATGAAAAAGCGAATTCTCTCTCTCCGTTTGTTGCATTGAGGTATGTTACGCTTGATGCTATATTTCATTAAACATCTCATCCACTGATACAATGCTGATTTATAATTGTGGTCCACGCGGCTGTAATTATTATAATTACACATTTTTCATCCATTCCCCTTTCTTTTTACCTCTCTCTCTCTCTCTCTCTCTCATTTATTTATTTATTTATTTTTTTACGTTCTGTAAACTCTTATGGGCTCCACCCCTTGGTTCGCGCCCCTCAGTGATTCACCTTATTGCCGTTGAAGCTCAGCAATGGGCTATGGAAACCGAAAGAGAGGTTTCAAAACGAGTTTCGTCCGTGAAATATATAGGCTCCTCTTGTCAAATATTACAAGTTCTACTCTCCCAACGCAAAGGGCATGCACTCGTTCCAATCTTTTTATCTCCAGTACAATTGTACATTTTTATGATATTGTCATTTTTATCGATTCACATGTACAGAATATGGAAAATGTCACTTTATTACATGCTTGACAATTATCGGATTTAGTATTTTGAAAATTGGCCATTTTCGGGCTATCGTTATTTCAATCTCATGAGAAATTCAGTCCTTTTTTCTTTCTTACATATTTTGTGAAATACAAAGTGATGACCGTAATGATTCTAACCACCGTCTGACATCTGGCATTAGGCAGTACCAGGGTTCTTTCGAGTGGCAACGCCCGCAGCAATTGTTGCCGTTTACGGCTGCCGCTCTCGCTTCTCGGGTAGAGTTGCTGCCTCTCCTGTTGTGTTGTTGCTTTCCTCTGTTTCTTACGTTCCACAGGACTATGCGGTCCAATGGGGTACCGTACAAACTCTCCATCAAGCTCCATACACATACAAAGAGCTCAAGCAACATGACTCTTTCATGCTCTGCATCTCAGTCATACACGTTGTATCTGAATCGCATTCCAATTGCGAGACTAAATATTTTCGCATTGCGTCAAACTTATGCGCGCTCATTGGCAGTATTTAATTTCCATTTCAAATTAAAAATCTTTAAAATATATAGTGTGTAAAAGTAAAGCTTCAAATTAACAATCAATGGATGGATCGATGGATCCTCAATTTAAAGGCCAAATGCATTCACTCTACAACAGCTAGAAAATTAACCAAACTGGCGTAGAATTCTCAGCTTCTTTTTCAAATACATTCAAGACATTCTAGTAGGCATACATATATAACAGAAGAAAAAAAACGATAAAGAAGTGGAGAAAGGAGGAGAATGGAAGGAAAAAAGCACAGGAGGTAAGAGCGACTGGCATTCCAAAGGGTCCGTATTAATTATACTCAGAGCACCGCGTATTAGTAGCACCCAACTCACTATCAATATCTGTATTTGTTAATCTATTAGACCTGCATTAGAAATACTGCCCATCTTGGAACATTCAAGGAAACTCATTATTATCAATAATTAATTACGTAGCTTCAGATGTACGGTTAACGAATCAATTTAACATCATTTCCCCTTTTAATAATATATTCCGAATGAAAATTTTCAAGCCATACCGCTGATGAGGCACTTATGAATTAGTCCTGAGGCTACCCTGGCTGACCTTGACTATGGCTGGGTCTATTGTACCATTTTAAGGGGCTCCACCAAACCCCCCCCCCCATATGTATCTCATTCTCTCTCTCTCTCTCTCTCCGCCGAAAAGGTAATTTATTTTTTATCCTTCTTCATCCACAGAGATGTTCTCATCGTCATCAGATGAACCCTACTTTGTATTTTTCCAGACGAGATAAATTTTAGAGTGAAAAAAATCTCAATAGATAGTTGACCAATGAAAAATCCACTCAACCTTTGTCATTCATTAATTTTTATTTCATTCACTGGCAAATCTCTTTAAGCCCTGGAAGGGACGTGCATTTATAGGTACACATTTTCTATGTATGTGTTTACACATGGCTGGCTTTATACGCAAAGAAAGACAACGTGTTGCGCGCGTGATATTTCTCTTTCAGCCGCGCAACGCTAGCCACGAGAGCGTTCCGAACAATTTTCTCCCTATTTTCAAGAAACCCTTGGGTTTACCTTATTCTACCATTAAGCATTTCTGGCCAGTCGAATTCTCTACTATAATAATTTTCTACTCTCAGGATTTATTTTCGACTAAAAATATGCTGAAGCGCATTTTTTTTTGTCGGTGGGTGGTCAAATGAATATGACGATATTTGGTAACGAATATTGAAAGAAATTCACCAAAATAGTTTTGAAAAGTAGTAGAAAGCCAGTCATTGCTGGGCAATTCCTCAAAAATTGATTACCCATCGAATTTTCGATCTGGGAAAAAAGTGTAGCTTGGTTGAAACTACAGTAGGTCTTGGAGGCATTCTTATCTTTCGTTCAGGTATAAAGGCTGGGTTTTGGAAGGATGGGGAGAGAATAAGAAAGTGAACAAGCAGTTAAGAAACGAGGATGGTATAGTGTAGAATAAGACATGGCAACAAAAAATCATCACCGCCCTTTTTCTTGAGGCCCGTTCTTCTCAAGTTTTATCAAAAAAATCACTTCCATCTACTATTAAAGGCGTTATATTCCTTTTTTTTGCTACTACTTTCCTTCCAATATCTCGGCTGATTATATTTTGTCGTCTCATTTGTATTTTCCAATTTTCCAACACATGGAAATTGGTATGCAAGAAATGTATCCCCCCCCCCTCCCCCGGTGCAAGTGTATAATTCCCTTCTACGCTCATGAAGATAGAGACAACATATATACAGTATATGCAACATCTCTTGAGAAGATGTGTTATCCTTAACGGTATAACACTGGTATTCGTAATGTTATCGCTCTAAGCACCTTATATCACTTGTAAGCAATGAGGCATATATATAGAACAGAAAAAACTCAAGTGGCCAATATACTTGAATCAATATATATATTTTTTTTCTAATGGAAAAAATATATATATTGCATTCTGCTGAATTAATCAAATTTCATAAACATTTCACTTTAGCTGAAAAATTATAGACATCAATGAATCAAAATCCTCTGAAAGAGTCAAAGATGAAAAAGAATAGAATGAAGTGTATGAGGAGACGGCATATGCAATCCTCCACAAGGGAGTGGAGTCTTCCCTCGTATGGGCTTTTTTTTTATTCGGGTCCCGTAATTAACCGAGCAACGTGCTACGAGAGTGTCTGCACACGAACCATCTTCTCCTGCTCATTCTGCCCTTCTCTTATCCCTCGTCCGCTCATACTGACGTATGTACAGCAACCCGTTCTTCATCCGCCTTGATCCTCTTTTATTATATATAATATTCTTGTTTTTTTGTAGGCTTGATCTGCTTCCGATAATAGTGCAGAAAATGTTTAATATTTTATCATTATTATTTTTCTGGTAAAAGCAATATGAATATATTTATTCTTAAAATCACCAATCGCTATAATTGCTATAATTGCCCTCCATTGAATAATTACAACTCACACAGTATATATCTAGCTGATGTGTCACATTAGTTTATGCCATTATACTGTCTCGACACTTCCGGTTAACTATACTATCGTTACAACAACACTACCATTTTCAAGATCAACATCTCTAAGATTCAGTTGGCATGGTAATGAGGTGCGGACGAGACTATCACGTGGGTGGAGGGAAGAAAAATAGAAAAAATTTGAGACTTTAAACTTCAAGTCGTCTTTAGAGACGCGGATTTGCAACATTTGCCTCGACCAAGCCGGTTTGATAGCATCGTATGCGCTTACATATGCGTTAGATGAAAACACTGAGGTCATCTTCCACATTCCTACGTTTCTCTTCAATTTTATTATCAACAGCATAGGTGACTAAAAAATCGAATCACCAATAATGTGATCTCATAATGAATAATGTGAGAATTCCTTGTTGCAACTTTATAATGTAATAGAGAATATTGGGGGATTACATGATGAGTGTCGATCGAGTAACTCTAATTGGATGTTAATAGTAATTCTTCGATCCCGCGGCAGTATCTAAGCTCGCTTGAAATTCTTACAACTTCTTCAAAGAGTGAATAGGTACTCGAGGTCGGATGCGACTGACTCTCACCTCCCGGCGGCAGTGAGGAGACGCCGGTCCCGGAGCAGAAGGTCCCGTTTCTCGGCTATTTCCTTTACAACAGTGGTGGGTGGATTACGCAACGTGCCGTGTTTATGAGTCTTTCTCGGCATCGAGGTCATTCACAAGTATTTATTCGCATATATACTATTTACAACCCCGTTGGATCTCATTCCTACATATGTAGAGAAACCTAGACCTTTCACTGTGAGACCGTGTAGTTGATGATAGTTCATTCAACTAATTTTTTCTTCCAATAATAACTGATTACATCCGCTGTTGAGATACTAGCTGATTGGGAATCATCATTCCTACGAATGAGAATCTTCCTTTCTGAAGTGAAAAATATTAAAGAAGAGACAAAAATTCTCGGAATTTTTTTTCTGCCAAGTTCCTCCCGCGCATTTCATAATTTGTTCTTTGTTTCTTCTCCAACACTTTCCACTTTCGATGTCGTCGAACAGGCGTTGTGTTCTTGGAAGCCGTCTCCTCTGCAGCAGTGGTGGTACGGTAATTGTAGTAATTACGCTTACACTCAAGTTGGCCTCATCCTTTTTCATTCATTTTTTTTCAATTCCGAAAAATAATATTCTCAAAGGCAATTCTTCACAAATCGTTTCTTCATATGGCCCTTTCCACTTTCATAATTCTCTAACATACTGATGATGATTATGGAATAAATTCTCTCCTCATGGATTCCATTGAATATTTGCAAATAAATCATAATAAATCACTATAAACTTTATAAATAATTAAAATTCATTTCCACTCATGTCGAGGCTGGCAATGAGTGAAAATAAAGGAGAAAGTTGGCCAAAAAACGGGTCATTGCTGTCACAAAATAAAAACGAAGAGGAGCAGGAGGAG